TGGGGGGCCCTTGGCAGCAGCCGGCGGGGGACAGAAGTTGGGGTCAGTGGTACTGGGGGGGGCTTGAAGAAGATGACACGCCCTGAGGCCAGCGTCAAGGGGCGCCCCTGGGGTTTCCTTCCCTGCCTGGCCTGGGCTCAGCCGGTGCAGGGCCTCCCCCGCCTGACCCCGCGGGTCCAGCCCCTCTGCGGGGCGCCGGAGGAAGTGTCACCCAGGAGCCGGGGCGGGGGAGTCGGCCCTGCCGGCAGGTCGGCGCGACACCGGGAAGAGCGAGTCCGGCCCCACCCGGCGCGCGCCCTCCACACCCGCCGCCGTCCTCTGGCTCCGGGCCGGCGCCCCGCGAGCGCCCCCCGCCGGGCGGGTCCGGGGGCGGGGGCCTCGGGGGTGTCCGCGGGGCGGGGGCCGGGTGTCGCCAGGAGGGCCCGGCGCGAGCTCGGGCGCAGACCCCGCTGCCGCCCCCCCGGCCCCCCCGGCCCCCCCAGCCCGCCCGCCGCGCCCCGCCCCCGCCGCCCAGCGTCGCCGCCGGGAAGTTTGCGCGCGGCTGGCGCGGGGCGCGGGCGCGGAGCCGGCGCCGACCCCGACCGGACACTCGGCGCGGAGCGGACCGAGCGGCGCGGTGAGCACTGGGCCCGGCCCGAGGGGACGTCCCGGGAGCCCACCCGCCCGGCCGGGCCCGCAGAGGGGGGAGCTCGGGCTGGCCCGCGGGGGCCCCTGTCCTGGGCTGGGCGGTCCCGGGGCCCGGGGTTGCCGTCCTCATCCTCGTCGGACACCTTCGTCCCCAACGCCCGGGACGCACCCTCCAGCTCGGACACAGCGGGTCTCGCACCGTCGGGCGGCTGGGGGTGGGGGTGTCTCAGCGCTTCGCCCCCCTTTCTCTCCGGGGAGCGAGGCCAAGGATGGGGTGTCCGTGGCCGCCAGGCCTCCGTCCGGCCGCCCCACTCCTCCTCGGGCACCCCTGCCTCCCCTCCCCCTCCCCTCCCCCATGGGCAGCTCCGCAGAGACACCCCAGGGGCGCGGGCCCTGGGCAGCCCCGCCTGCCCCCCAGAACGCCCCACAATATCCCAGCTTCCCGGGGGTTTCCAGGGACGCGCGAGGGGCTCAGCACCCCGCCGGGCCGCTCTGCGCAAAGCCCACGATGGTTACTTCGACCCGCACGGGGACGGGTCACCGTCCGGCCCCCCTCCCGCCGCGCCAGCGGCCCCCCTCCCGCCTCTCTGCCGCGGGGTTTCTGCCTCCACCGCGCACCGAACCGACTGACCCCTGGCGTCTGGGCGCCCACATCCACCGGGACTGAGGACCGGCCAGGGCTGGTTTTCCTCCGCGGTGCTGGGGATGAGGGCTGGGGGGGGTTGTACCCTGGCCGGCGTCCAGGCCGCCCCGCCCCCACGGGCTGGGGGTGAAGGACATCGGGACAGGATTTGTCAACAGCCCGCGGCCCCTGGTCCACCCTGGTCACCACCTTCCGCCACGTGATCTGGTTTCACAAAAACACCCCCCACCTCGCACACCTCGGAGGCTGGGAGGCTCGACCCCACCCACTGGGATCCTGGGGTGGCCTGCCCTTCTTGGCTAATGAGCCATCCACTCAGCCTAGGGACCCCTGTGCCAGGTCTGGGAGCCTCTCAGCCATCCCCAGTGGAAATGGGGCACTGGCCCAGCCGAGAACACTCCAGACTGGTGCCAGGCGTGGGCAGGGCACGTGCCAGAGAGCCGGTGTGATGCACGTGGGGTGAATCCCGGGAGAGGGGTGGGGACTGGGAGAGAGGGGTCTGGGGCCCTGGGAAAGGCCCCTGCCTCTGTCCATTGAGCCTACTGAGTCTCCAGTTCTGGACTGACATTTGTGTGGGCACAGTCCTCCCCTGGCCAGTCGTCTGCCCCCACCCCACCCTCAGTGGGAGGACAGTAGGTGAAAAACAGGGAGCCCTGGCCGGTGTGGCTCAGCGGTTAGAGCGTCGGCCTGCGGTCCAGAGAGACCGGGTTCGGTTCCCGCTAGGGGCGCGTGCCTCGGTTGCAGTTTGTCCCCGGCCCTGGTTGGTCCTGCGATGTGTCCCTTTCACGTCGATGTCTCTCTCTCCCTCCCGCTCTATCTGAACAACAACAACAAAGGAAAAATGTCCTCGGGTGAAGATAAAGAAAGAAAAACAGGGAGCCCCGTGCTGCAGCCAAGGGGAAGCCCAGAGCAGCACCTCTGCCTTCAGCTCCTCACCATCCGCCATCTGGGGTTTTTCTTTTTTTTTAATCCTCACCCGAGGACATTTTTCCAATTTTTGTTCAGATAGAGTGGGAGGGAGGGAGAGAGAGAAACATTGATGTGAAAGGGACACATCGAGTGGCTGCCACCCGCACGACCGACCAGGGCCGGGGACAAACTGCAGCCGAGGTACATGCCCTCAGCGGGAACCGAACCCGGGTTCTCTCCGGACCGCAGGCCGACTCTCTGACCGCTGAGCCAAACTGGCCAGGGTGCCATCTGGGGTTTCAGTCCTCAACAGATACTGCTCCTGGGCTGACAGTCTGTCCTGGGGTGCCCCGGCCTCGTGGCGAGGAGGGGCCCGGCCACGACGCTCTGTCCAGGCAGAGGTCACTGACTCCTGAGGAGACAGACCTCCCCTCTTCACAAGTGGGGAAACTGAGGTTCCGAGAAGTTAAATTCCTTGCCCTTGGTCCAAGGACCAGAACTGGGCACTGCAAGAGCCAGGGTGCCCAGGGCAGGGACCCCAGCACCTCAGCTCCCCACCCCCACCTCTGTTCAGTCCCATGCCTAGATTATCCTTGCCTGCACTGCCCCAAAAGGGACAGAGGACTCACCCCCTTCTGGCCCTTGTCCAGCTCCCATCAGGTGCCTAGTGGGGATCACCTGCAGCCTTCAGTATTGGGGTGCTGAGGCCCTGACCTCTAAGGATCTGGGGCTAGGGGTGCCTTGAGCTGGGGTACACAGCCTGTGATCTGTGGGTGCTCATTCCTAAGCCCTTGGCAGACTAGGGGTGGGAGTGAGGGACATGAAGAGTACCCCCCTTCTTTAGCCATGGTTGCCATAGAGATAGTGTGGGAGGGGCAGGGAGGGAGGGGGCCCAATGCAGCCCACCCCCTCCCCTTCTCCCCCGAACCCTGCTTCTCTCTGGGGTCCCAGCCTGAGCAGCCCTGGCAGCCCTGCCCACAGGCCCCCACATGCCTGTGAGGTCAGCGAGGCCAGGAGCTGGGGCACAGCTGGGCTTGCCTGGCTGCTGAGCCCCACCTGGCTCCCAGGGGCTGTCCTCCCTGGCCGGCCACAACTTCAGTCCCCACGGCCCCACCCCCCGCTGCAGGGCCAGTGGACAGGGAACAGCTTATCGGGCAGTGTCCTTCCTCCCGCAGCCCTGCTAGCATCTCCACTTTGACCCAGCCAGCCATTGTCACTCTCCCCCTCCCCTGGCCCTAGAGCTTCTAGCTGCCCAGGCCCCCCGGTACCCCTGAGCCTGCACACCCACTGCCCCTCCCCCAGCAGCCGGTGCAGTGGGGAGAGGTCTGGGGACAGGTCTGTCCAGCTGCCCCTTACCTACCGAGCTCAGTGGCAGGGCCAGCGAGGAGCAGGGCAGCAGATGGTCAGAGCTCTGTCTGGTCAGAACCAGGAGGTAAGGACCATATTTTACCTCAGGGCTGAAGACACCTGAACCGCCCCTCGTCCCCCACCTGCTGGCCACCTTCTCTGCCCCGAGCACCCTTCACATGGTGCCCCCCAGGGCCCTGCGCTGGGGTTCCTCGCCTGTTCAGGGACTGGGGACCAAGCCACTCCTGGGCTTGCCTGGCCGGCATCCGGGGCCCAAGGAACAGGGTCAGGAGCCGCCGAGTAGGCTGTGACCCAGGTGCCCCCCCAGGCCGCAGCTCTCACCCTGCATGGTGGCATCTCAGGGTCCCATTAGGGGTGAGGGGTGAGTCTCAGGGAGACGCCTGGTTGAAATGGTCCCACAAGGACCCAGCTGAACTAATGAGAGGGGGCAGAAATCCGGGGTGTCCTGACATCCTCCACCTTCAGCCACAGCTTGTACACCCCCATCCTAGCTTCTCCCCAACAGTGACTTTCAGCCAGCCAGCCGTCCATCTGTCCACCCGTCACTCGCTCAGCCCGCACCAGTGTGCCCAGAGGACCACCCACAGCTCTGGGCCCTGCACCCAGGCCCTGGGGAGGCCCCTCCCTGCTGCCCCAGGGGACGCAGGCCGAGGAAAGGCAGGCTGGAAGCGTGAAGGGAGGATTTATGGGGCTGCTGCTGCCCAGAGCTCTGGCTCAGACGGGCTCCCGCCCAGGACCCGGCACCACAAGGGCAGGGGTCCCGTGTCTGGGCCCCGCCGCCAGCAGCGCTCATCTCGAAGGAATGTTCTGCCAGCTCACTGCCCCGTGGGACCCAGAACCAGCCTGAGCCGGGGGCACCTCGACACTCCAGTCTGGGGAAGGGGGCATGCGTGTGACAGGGACCACCCTGCGCATGTGCCTGGTGCTCCTGGCCCCTGGCAAGGCTGGGCGCTGGCGCAGGGCCACCTCGATAACCATGGCAGCGGGGGCGACGTGATGGATGGCCCGGCACCCAGCCCTGGCAAGACGACTTTCCCAGGGTCTAAGAATAGGTGGGGAGGCTGGTGCCGGCTGTGGGAGGAGGTGGGCTGCTGGGGACACGCTCCCCTCTCCCCCCGTTTTGGGACCACAGGATGGTGGTGGCCCCAGCACAGAGGGGAGGGGCCCTGGTGCTGTGGGACCCACCAGAGAGACAGCTGCAGGTTGTGGGAGCCCAGCTGCACCCCAGGACGCTGGGCAGGACCTACTGACAAAGAGCAACTACCTCTCTGCCAGCTCCCACTTTATCAATACAACCTGGAGTCTCAGATGGGGGACATTCAGGGAGCAGGACACCCAGATGGCCGCTCAGTCTCCTCACCCCAGGGTCCTCTCCCCAGACCAGGCTGCTTTGGCCCTCAGCCGCCCAGGAGCGTGCTTGCCCTCGAAGACCCTTCACCCACACCTCGCAGCCCCAGCCAGATGTGGGGGGTGGCAGCCCAGAGGCATGCCCCCCACCTGGCCACACCGACCCCCCTTCCTCCTGCTGCTGCTGCTGGCCGGCCAGGTGAGCACCCGCCCGCCCCCGCCCTCGCGCCCCCTCGGGCCGGCCCCCCTCCCTTGCCGACAGCTCGCCCCTGTGGTCTCTGCCCAGCCCCAGGCCCCCGCTGCTCAGGTGACAGACTTCCTGTTCGAGAAGTGGAAGCTCTATGGTGACCAGTGTCTCCACAACCTGAGCCTGCTGCCGCCCCCCACCGGTGAGCCCCCCCCACCTCCGCCGAGTCCAGGCCTTGGCCCAGTAGCTTTTCCTGAACTCATTAGGAAAACCCTGTGCAGGTGAGGACACCCAGTCACCGAGAGGCCAGGGACTTGCCTCGGAACTGGGGTGCTCCATGCCCCCGGTGCGGGTGTCCCCATGGGGCCTGAGGACACTGTCTTTGCCCCGTGGCATACAGGCCACTGGGCAGACAGCATGGAGGCTGCTGGGGTGGGCAGGCCTCTCAGGCGGGGCTGGGGGGTGGCCGTCCTGTCCAGGGCTCAGGCAGGGTGGGGTGGCCAAGGGATGAGTTCTGAAGGGCACTGGGGTCAGAGAGGAGCAGGAGCTGCTGGGCAGGCCCGTCCACTGTCCTGGCAGGGAAGGGGCCTGTGCAGGACTGAGGGGGCGGGGTGTGGTGCTGGGTCCAGGGAGGGTGCCAACAGAATTGGGGTTCAGCCCCCAGAGAGAGAGGCACTTCAAGAAGGGAAGAGGGGAGACCCCGGGCAGGTCTGTGAAGTGTCCGGAGAGTTGGTGTGCGGGACCAGGCTGGGCCTCTGGGGGTGGACAAGGAAGGGAGGAGGGTCAGAGAGACCTGGGGGAGCAGAGGATGGTTCTCGGGGATCCCGAGGAAACAGGAGGGGCTGTGGGGGCCCTGCTGAGGAGCCCCCGCCTCTGCAGAGCTGGTCTGTAACAGGACTTTCGACAAGTACTCCTGCTGGCCCGACACGCCCCCCAACACCACGGCCAGCATCTCCTGCCCCTGGTACCTGCCCTGGCACCACAAAGGTAGCAGCAAAGGGTATGTGGGGTGGGGTCCAGGGGTCCAGCCTCTCGGTGGGGCGCTGACCAGAGCTCCCCCTCCCGCAGTCCAGCACCGGTTCGTCTACAAGCGGTGTGGGCCCGACGGGCAGTGGGTGCGCGGGCCCCGGGGGCAGCCGTGGAGAAACGCCTCCCAATGCCAGCTGGACGAGGACGAGCTCAAGGCCCAGGTCAGCCCGCGCGGGGCAGAGGCCGGTGGGGCCGGCGAGGTGCCCTGTCCGCCTGACCGGCCCTGTGGTTTGCAGAAGGAAACGGCCGTGATGTACAGCACCTTCCAGGCGATGTACACCGTGGGGTACTGCCTCTCGCTGGGGGCGCTGCTGCTGGCCCTGGCCATCCTGCTGGGGCTCAGGTAGGCCCCAGCCCAGAGCAGGGGGGCGGGCAGGGGCGGCAGCCGCTGACTCCCTCCCCCACAGGAAGCTGCACTGCACCCGAAACTACATCCACGTGAACCTGTTCGCGTCCTTCGTGCTCAGGGCCAGCTCCGTGCTGGTCATCGACACGCTGCTGAGGACCCGCTACAGCCAGAAGGTCGGCGACGACCTCAGCCTGAGCGGCTGGCTGAGTGACGGGGTGAGCGCCCGCCCCCCCCCGCCCCACCCCTGCGGGCGCCCACCCCAGCTCACTGCTGCCCCTGCGGCCAGGCGGTGGCCGGCTGCCGGGTGGCCGCGGTGGTCATGCAGTACGGCGTCGTGGCCAACTACTGCTGGCTGCTGGTGGAGGGCGTGTACCTGCACAGCCTGCTGAGCCTCGCCGCCTGCCGCGACAGGAGCCTGTCCACCCTCTACCTGGGCATCGGCTGGGGTGAGTGGGCTGCTGCGGGGGGGCAGGCTGGTGGGAGCGCTGACGCCACAGCTGCCGCCCCCCGCAGGGGCCCCCGTGCTGTTCGTCGTCCCCTGGGCAGTGGTCAAGTGTCTGTACGAGAACATCCAGTGAGTATGAGAGTCCGAGGGCAGCCCGGGTGGCTGGGGTCACCTCACTTCACCCGGCGCTCGCTGGACAGGGGCGGTGGGGGGCAGCTGCGTGCCCAGTTCTTGGGGCATTGGGAGGAATCTCTGGCCTGAGGCGGGGGGTGAGCAAACCTGGTGCCCAGGATGGGGGCCGTTTCTGAGCATCTTCCGTTCTTTCCTGAGGCACCAGCTAGATCCCCAGGGGCTGGGGGCTGGGGGGGGGCTGACAGGTGTGAGCTGGCCCCACCCTCAGGTGCTGGACCAGCAACGACAACATGGGTGTCTGGTGGATCCTGCGCTTTCCCGTCTTCCTGGCCATTTTGGTGAGGACATGACTCCCCTGCTGGCTCCAGGGGAGGGGGTGGGGGCCTGAGGGTTCAGCCTCCAGCCCCCCTTCCTTGTGGGCCTGCAGTGGCCCAGGAGACAGACAGCATCCTGCCTGGGTGGACCAGGAGGGAGGCCCGGCACCCCGCCAGGACACTGGCCGGCGCCCTGGCCTGGGGCTGGGCTGCCTTCCCTGGCAGGGTGCCCGCCAGCCCCAGGGCCTCGGGAGCCAGGGTGCCCTGAGCTGTGTCCTCCACGTGCAGATCAATTTCTTCATTTTCATCCGCATCCTTCACATCCTCGTGGCCAAGCTGCGCGCCCGCCAGATGCGCCACACCGACTACAAGTTCCGGTGGGTGGCGGGTGCCGAGGGGGGGGCGGGCACCGTGCCTCTGGCTCAGGCTCCGCCCCCACAGGCTGGCCAAGTCCACGCTGACCCTCATCCCCCTGCTGGGCGTCCACGAGGTGGTGTTCGCCTTTGTGACTGACGAGCATGCCCAGGGCACCCTGCGCTCCGCCAAGCTCTTCTTCGACCTCTTTCTCAGCTCCTTCCAGGTGCTCGCCCCCTCCGGGTGCCCCCTCAGGTGCCCGCCCCCTTCGGTGCCCCCCCTCAGGTGCTCGCCCCCCTCCGGTGCCCGCCCCCCTCAGGTGCCCCCTCAGGTGCTTGGCCCCCTCAGGTGCCCACCCCCCTCCCTCAGGTGCCCACCCCCTCAGGTGCCCCCTCAGGTGCCCGCCCCCCTCAGGTGCCCCCCTCAGGTGCCCCCCTCCCTCAGGTGCCCGCCCCCCTCAGGTGCCCCCCTCAGGTGCCTCCCCTCCCTCAGGTGCCTCCCCCCTCAGCTGCCCCCTCAGGTGCACCCTCCCTCAGCTGCCCCCCTCAGGTGCCCCCCTCAGCTGCCCCCCTCAGGTGCACCCTCCCTCAGCTGCCCCCCTCGGGGCCCCCCCTCTCTGCAGGGCCTGCTGGTGGCTGTCCTCTACTGTTTCCTCAACAAGGAGGTAGGTGGGGTCTGGGTCGGCGGGGCGGGCACAGCAAGCCGAGGTGTCTGGGTGCCAGGCCTCAGCCCTGTCCTCGGGGCGCGCACAGCGAGGGGTGCCAGCCGGCGGCAGGCCGTGCTCCATGGTGACCAGGCCCATCTTGCTCGTGGCTGGAGGTTGGGGACCCCGAGGGTGGGACTGGCCCAACCTGTCGCCGCCCCAGGTGCAGGCGGAGCTGCTGCGGAACTGGCATCGCTGGCGCGGGGGCGAGGCGCTGCAGGACGGGCGCCAGGGCGGGAGCCGCTCGGCCCTGGCCCAGACCACCAGCGGAGCCCCCACCGAGAAGCTGCTCCTGTCCAGGGGCCGAGACAGCAACGGGGCCAGCCAGGGCCCCTCTGTGGAGACCTGTGTGGCCGGCAACCTCCCTGGGTTGGCCCAGAGCTGCTTGTGATGCCTGCGGAGCCCCACGGGGGCTGGACTCCGAGCCCAGAGGGCACCAGCCAGCGGTTCAGACTGACGCCCAAGGAGGCTGGAGCGGCCCAGGGTGGTGGTCTGCGGGTTGGGGCCCGGGCTCCTCCCTGCTCTGCCCCAGGGCAGGGGAGGGGTGGGGAACCCTGGGGAATGGAGTGGCGGGAAGCTGTCTTGCCAGGGGCTGTGTCCCCGCGTCTAGTGCTGTCGGAGGAAGTGTCTGTCCTCCTACAATAAAGAGCTCTAACAAGGCGTTGTGTGCAGCCTGGAGAGGGGCCTGGGGGTGGGCGGGCTGAGCCCAGGGTGTCCCCTCAAGAACGGGCAGCTGCCGATGGAAACCCCCATTTTACAGATGACTTGGACCTGGCACCTTTGAGGGAACCCCAAGTGTGGCTGTCGGTGCCCTCCCTGCCCCCACCTGGACGGGTTCTGGCTACCCTTCTGTCCAGCTCAGGCGGCCTCACCCCACCCAGCCCAGAGTAGACAGTCCCCATTAACTTTGGCCCCCCAGCCCCCAGAGGGTCACCACTGGCCCCAGAGGGACGTGACGGGAATGATGGCCGAGGGGGGCCACACTCCTGCCAACCCCCGTGGACACCGGCCGGGCTGGACTTGGGCTCAGCGGAGGCAGGGCCGGGCAGTCCAGGACCGGCGTCCTCGGGCCTCTGCTTCGTGCTGGCTCCAGCCACCTGAGCAGTCTGCAGGCTGTGCGGCAGGTCGGAGCAGGGAGCTGCGACCGGAACTGAGCAGGTCTGAGGGAAGGCGACGGCGGCACACCCGTGCGGCCACTGGCAGAGGAGTGGCCGTTCTGTCTTCGCCCACCACACAGCTGTGCCGCGAGGATGTGCCGTGGGGTGGTGCTGGGCACCCTGCTGGCCAGGCAGGAGGAAGAGCCAGGTGGTGCACTGGGGGGGGGGGGTCAGTGGCCCAGGTGCATCCTGAGGTCAAGGTGCCACCTGGCACAGCATGTTTGATGGAGGCTGGAGGCAGGGCAGGAGTGGGAGCCCCGGGGGGCCGTGTCCCCCTTCTAGAGCACCTGCAGCAGAGCTGACGCCTGACGGGGTGTGCGCATGGGGGGGCTGTCAGAGGAGGAAAGGGCCGCAGGAGCAGAGCCCGAGGCAGACCTGCAGCAGGTGTCCCTGCTCCTGGGCTGCTGGGAGGCAGGCTGGGCTGGGGGAGGGGTGCCTCCAGCCCCTCCGCCACGTGGGCTGGAGCTGCTCGGGCACAGCCAGGCTAATTGGAGCAAATGAGAGGACAGGAGGCCTCTCCGGAAAGGTAAATAGAATTACTCACCCACCAGGCACTGGGGCCCTCCTGAGGGGGTCTGCACCCCAAGCTGCCCATGCCCCACAGGCCTGGATGAGGCAGGGAGGGAGTGAGGAGGGGAGGGTGTGGGCTAGAGGCTAGTGAGGGGCTGGCTCCCTGCGGGCTGGTGGGTGGCGGTGTCCCTGTGATCAGTGGGCTGCACCCTTGCGAGGCTCCCAGGCAGAGCCAGGGGACCAGCGGGAGGCTGCCGGCACCTGACCCTCAGACCCTCAGGCTTCAGGCCACCTCCTGCTCCAGGCCCCCGAGACCCTGAGTCTCCTCCGAGCCCCTTGGTGCCCGAAGTGGGTGTGGGCTCCAGCTGGCACGGGAGGCACAAGCTCTCTCCTTCACGGCAGCTGAGCTGGGTGAGTGACCGCCTGGGGGTGCGCTCACCTAGGGGCCTCCCTCTGCCCTTGTCCTCATTTACCCCGGCCCTGTCCCCAAGGGAACTAGAGCAGGCCAGTGGAGTCAGGGGCGGAGGTGGAGGCCTGGCAGGGGCTGACCTGCCCAGCCAATAAACTGATTCTGATCAGGCGGCCCTGAGGGGGGCAGGGGAGGGGTGAGGAACCCACTTTGCCCCTCAGGGCCCTGCATCCACACAGCATCACTCTCCATCCAAGGAGACAGACACCCAGACCCTCTGCCCCTTCCCCATCTCTACCACCTTCCCTGCCTCCACCCAGTCCTCCACGCAGGCCCTTTCCCCAAAATTGATGAGTACTGTTCAGCCTGTGTGCACACACACACAGACACATGTGTGCACACACACGCGTGTGTCTGTGTGTGTGTGCACGTATATGCATGCTACTAAAGTGAGTGTGGGCACCAAGAAAGAAAACATGGACTTTGATCAATGGGTCAAACCTGGGAGCATCAAGGTGTAACCCCAGGGTGTGCCAGGAGAGACCCTCCCCGGGATCACAGTGACCGAGCACACTGTGAGGAGACATAGATGGCCCGGGGCAGAGGTCAGGACTTTGTTAGTATTAGTACTTAGGAAACTAGCAAATGAAAAAAGAAGGCAGTTAATAACTCTAAGGAAAACAAAAAGCTGGGCAGGAAAGAAAAAATAATCACAACTTAGCACATAGCTCAGCTCTGAATACAAACACGGACATCATAATGTAAATACTCAACATCGTAGCAGCGGGTTTGGGAGGGAAAGCACTGTCTAGCGGTGACGGGGGAGGGGAGGGCGTTGGGGGGACGGGGGCACAGCACAGACCAGCTGGGAAGTGGCTGCGGGGGGCGGGGGGTGCGGAAGGCTGAGAGCCAGGGCCTCTGGGAGCTGCTGGGCCTCACCTGGACCCCGGCAGCCCTCCCACTTTCTGCCTCACTCCCCACCACTCAGTCCCTCTCCTGCTCCCCTCCGCTCCAGCCAGGCCCAGCGCTCCTCCCATCTCTAGCGATTTTTAAAAATCAATATTCAGAGGACTCCCTATCTGTATGTGCAACCCGAGGGCCCCCCAGAATCCACACTGTGGGCCAAGCTTCCCACTGGTGCCCTCTGATGCCCACGCTGCGCCCCTACCTGCCCCTCTGCCCCCCAGGTTTGCTGAGGAAACCCTCCTGCAGGTCTCCCTGCTTCTCCTCGGACCCCAGCTGAGCCTGGGCCGCGCTGCTTGCGGAAGTGCAGGACACGGCAGCCTGCTAACCCACAGGACGCCCCGCCCATTCCAGAATGTGGGAAACCCCCCCCCAAGTGTGGGGTGGGGGAAGCTGAACCCATAAACAGGGAAAGACATACTCGAGGGACAAAACCCACGAGAAGACAGGGTACCGTCGCTGGGTGACGGACGGCACCGGGCGCCACCAGGAGGGCTGCTCACACTCGCGCCCAGCACGTCGGAGTGTCCTGACCCCACAGGCCTGATGACCACGGAGCTCAGGCCTGAGTCAGGCCTCCCCTCCCAGGCCCCTCCTCACTGGCAGGACCAGGGCACTGAGCCGGCCCAGGGAGGGCAGCCCAGCAGCGATGTCCTGCGCTGTAGTGTAGGAGGTGATGGCCCCGTGGACGCCCCTGTCCCAACATGGCCACCCCGTGCTGGTAAGGGCCCTAGGTGCCTGGGACCGGGAAGTGTCAGTGCTCAGCCACTCGGGGGGGCCCCCAGACAGGATGCCTGGCCCCACACTGGGGAAGGGGGGCACTGGAGTAGACGTCTGCAGTCAGGGCTCCCCGTTTGGCCCATCTGCCCCACGCTGCACCCTCTGTGCTTACTTCCCCCCCTGCCCTCCTCCCAGCATGTGGCCTGCGACCCCACCCCCACTCCCAAGGTGTTCTTGGCAGAAAGACCCCAGGCCAAGGGCCTTCATTTCACAGAGCTGTTCAACTGGCAGAACAGTGGGAGGCCTTGAGGGGTGTCCCGGGGGCCACCCACGCAGAGGGGTGTACAGGCCCAGTGGCACCACCACTGGCGAGGCCAGGGAGGGTCCGGCAGGCAGGGCAGGCTGACTCCAGGGCCCACCGTGGTGAAGGGAGATGAGATGGGCACAAGGCTGGCAGGACCCCACATGGGCAGGACCTTTGGTCCCCCACACCCCGTCTTCAGTCATCTAGGTCATGCTGAGTGGAGGGTGTGATACACGCCGGGGGCCCATTCAGCCTCTGGCTGTAGCCCCCTGGACCCACCCACTCCTGGCCCACACTCCCCTCCCAGCCCCTGAGAGTGGGGGGCAGCTCAGGTGACCCAGCCCAGAAGATCCCCTGGGAGCAAAGGAGGCCACAGGGTTACAGGAACTTGGCTCAGGGCCAGGCACCTTCCAGTGCCCAGTGGCAGCAAGTCTTGGTGGCTGTTAATGACATGAGCCATCCTTCCTGTGCCCCAGCCCCGGGGAACCACCCCCCTGATGACACTTCCCAGGGGCACCTGTGGGGCCCTCAAGCCCCCAAAATACTCTTCTGGGAAAAGATGTTCCCAAAATAAATTCTGGTTTGGCTTGTCTGGGTCTGGCCTGCCAGGACTTTCCCGGTTTGAAGGTCAATGCACTCAGGTCTCTGCCTCCAAATGGAACAGCCCGCAGGGGCCCACAGGAACCATCCCACCCTCTGTCCTCCAGGAGGCCCCACCTCCCACAGTCCCCCAGAGGCCTGAACCCCTAGCGGAGCCCAGAGATCAGACATTTCTGGGCTCAGGGGCGTCGACCATAACCTCAGACTCACAGCCACGTCTTGGCTGCAGGGACAGACCACCAGGAGGCCCACCCCGCGTCGCCCGCCTTTATTCACTGGTCCCAGGCTGCAGTCACAGGGAAAGGGCCCTGAACAGAGACGGGACCCTCCCAGAACAGAGACAGGACCACCAGGCAACCTCACACCCCTGCTCAAGGGGCTGCTGTGGCCACAGGGCTGCAGACACCAGGCCCAGGGCCCTATGAGGGCACCAGTGGTACCCAGGCCTGGGGGGCTGGTGCCCTCCTGGGGCTAGCGCAGGAGGGAGGGGCCAGTCTGGACAGTGTGGGTGGGATTCTTCACTTCCCGTGTCCAGGCCAGAGAAACAGCAACATGGCAGATCCATGAAGGGTGAGGGCGGAGCTGCCCTCGTCCTGTCTTCTGGCACCTCAGGGACAACCCTGGACTAGTCCCACAGGCCAGGAGACTAGAGGGCCTCTGGTCTCTGTCCTGATCCTGGAAGCAGCCACAGGTCTGGGCTGGGGCAGTGGGGCAGAAAGGGAGGGGAGTCAGGATCCAGGCCCCTGGGCAGGCGGGCCAGGGGCTCCGGACACCTAGCGGCTAGGCCCAGGGGACAGGCGGGCCAGGGGCTCCGGACACCTAGCGGCTAGGAGGTCCAGGGGGCAGGCGGGCCAGGGGCTCCAGGCACCTAGCGGCTAGGCCCAGGGGGCAGGCGGGCCAGGGGCTCCAGCACCTAGCAGCTAGGCCCAGGGGGCAGGCGGGCCAGGGGCTCCAGGCACCTAGCGGCTAGGCCCAGGGGGCAGGCGGGCCAGGGGCTCCAGCACCTAGCGGCTAGGAGGCCCAGGGGGCAGGCGGGCCAGGGTCTCCGGCACCTAGCAGCTAGGCCCAGGGGGCAGGCAGACCAGGGGCTCCAGGAACCTAGCGGCTAGGCCCAGGAGAGCCCAGGGGCTGGCAGGGCCCAGGCCCTCCCAGTGACTGGCAGCTGAGCCTGCCAAGAGGGAAGGGGCCTGGGGAGAAGGGGCAGCAGGCCTCAGCCATCAGTCACGCTGTCCTGGTCCTGGGGTTGGCCGCCCTGGCAGCCGGCCCTGGCCCCCAGGAGCTGGGCCCCAGGAGAGCCGCCCAGCATCAGGCGCACCGTGTCTCCCAGAGGCCAGCCCGCAGGCGCTCTAGGACTTCTTGGCATCCTGCGTGCTCCGGCGTTTCAGGTCACTCAGGTCAATGGGCTTGAAGGCTGTTGGGGGACAGACTGGTCAGCGGTGGGCACAGGAGAGGCAGCTTCCACCCAGATCCTGTTCCCTGAAGCCCTGGGACCAACCACCCCAACCAGCTGTCCCCCCATCAGGAAACAGGAAGCAACAGGGCCTCCCCGCCCCAGCCCCACCCCGACCAGGCCCCGCCCTCCAGGCCGGCCCCTCCCACTCACTCTTCAGGCTGGGGTTAGGGACCTTCTCCACATACTCCTCCACCAGGCCCCTCTCACTGCCTGAAATCTGGCTCCGAAGGTCCCGCTCCACGCCCTGCCAGGCTGTGGGAACGCGGCCCAGTCAGAGCTCCAGCCCAGGGGTCAGAGTCCCGGCTGGAGAGTCCCCTTCCCCCTGCCCCTTCAGTGTCCTCCCAGGCCCTCCCCCAGCCCCACCAATCTCCCAGCTCACAGCAATTGGCCCAGACTGGCCGGCTTGTGACCTGAAGTTACCCCGTACCCCTCACTCTCTGCGGACCCATGGGGGCCTCCACGCCCAGCTCCGCCAGCAGGCCTGTCCCCTCATCCATCCAGACCAGGGTTATGGTCACAGAAGCACACATGACCCACTGGGGTACAGCACTTACCCCTGCTGGCACATAGCCCTACTTCCGGGCACCACTGGGTGCCCCAGAGCTCACATCTGCCTTCCACAGTGCCCTTCCCTCCCCAAAAGAACCCAAGTAGCTCCAAATGCTGCCTCTTCTGGGGGGTGCTGCCCACTGGGAACCCCAGCCCCATAACAAGAACCTGTCCTCCCAGACGGGCCCTGGGGCTAGCAGTGACATGGGGCCGGCAGGGTGCCGTACCTTCATATATGAAGCGCACATTCTCCTCGTGGGCCGGGGTGAAGATCTCGCTGCTGTTGGGGGGAGAGCGGGGGCTACTGTTCCTCTTGCCGTTGTAGACGACTCTGGAGACAGGGGAACTGGGGGGACCCGGCTCATGAGGAGAGTCTGGGGGGCAGGGTGGGGATGCCACACCCCTTGCCCCTGGGGTGAAGGCTACTCAGCTGCCTAAGACCCACCTGGTCATCGCTGGGGCGTCTGGTCCTCACACTCCACCGGATCCCCTTGGCTTCTGGAAGGGAAAACCCAGAACAGGGGACAGAGCGTCACCCTCTCCAGAGGAGCTTCAGAGGGGAGGGACGCAGGTGTGTCGCCCTCCTCCCTTTAAGCTGACGACAAACTGCTGTGGCCTCACTGACACCAGGGGACCCTTCAGGGTGGGGTCCAGCCACAATCTGGGCTGACTAGGGATGAAGCAGGCTCAACTGGGGGGAGCAAAGGGCTGGGGGACAGCGACATGCACAACCTGGAGCAGCCTGAGCCCCCAGAACCTGGACCTCCACTGCCCTGGAGCCTTCTCCACAGTCAGGGGGTGCAGATGGTGCCAGCTGCTCTATGACACCCCGTTTCCAGAATCACAAAGCCCCTCTCCAGTGAACCCTAACTCTGCCCCACAGCCTGCAGGACCTGGCGTGTTGCTTCCGTGAGCCTGTTCCCCATCTGTAAAATGGGGACATGCTTCCTGGGGGTGAGAAGCCCAGTGGACACACGGAACCTGCCCAGCTTCCTGGTCCTGGAGGCTGGGGTGTGAGTGAGCTGGTGCCCGGAACATGGAATCCAGCAGGGCAGGAGGGCCGGGGGCCGGGTGTGAGCCAAGAGGAAGCTGCAGGGCTTGGGCCTGACCCAGTGACCAAGACCCTGGGGCACAGCCTGTTAAATACCCTCTCTCTGCCCAGGGGGGTTTTCAGCCCTGGGTGAGAATCTATTTTTAGGCTCACTCTCAAACTGGCCAGCTGGCCAGTGTCCTCTCTCTGGCTGAGAACACACTGCAGGGTGGCTGGTCCCAGGCCTGACCTTGTCCCACAGCAGGGCAACCACAGGTGCGGGGGCAGGGGACTCTGGGATGGCACTTTGAGCACGAGAGCCTCCCTCACCCACCCGGGAACCCAGGGCCCCCACACTGCCCAGAGCATGAGCCGCAGCCCTTCCTAACAGGCCAGGAGGCGGGACAGTGTGGGTGTGTCCTCTCTGGCTCACTCAGCCATACTGAAACACCTACACAGGTCCACAGAAGCCCACAGGCCTAGTCAAGAGTGACAAAAACGCACAGAAGCAGCCTGGAGACCAAGCCCTGTGCCCCTCCCAGGCCAGGTTCCCTCGTCTAAAGCCAGAGCACACAAGGGTGCCCAAGGGGCTATGGTGGGGAGCAGAGGGGCTCCAATTATGCAACAGGATGGAGATGCCCACCCTGAGCCAGGCCCTTGCTTGCTCACCCAGGGCCCGGGGCCCTCCTGCACCCTCCCTTAGACCCGCCCACCACGCAGGGCGCCTGCCTTCCTGGCCTCGCCAGCCTCCGCCCCTCCTCCCCTGCAGCCTCTGCTGGCCTCCTCTGCTCACACCCTGCGCCCTGCTCCCCCTCATCTCCGCAAGCCCAGGTCTGGCTGGACTGGGCCCACAGGAGCTGGCCTGCAGGGGACTGGGCCCACGAGCTGAGCCCCAGGACCCAGAACCCTTGGTCTCTGCATTGGGACCCCACCCCATGCCGCTCCCAAGAGCTGACTCCTGACCAGACAGGACCTTGTCCAGGCGGCACCTGTCCCTGGTCACCGAGCACCCTCCCACACAAACACCCTACTTCGGTTCAGGGCTTCAGTCAGAGTGAAAGCCCCTCTACCAGGGGCCAGACCCTCAGCAGGCTTGCCCACCCTCAAGACTTGAAGACAAATAAAGTGACATTTTCAAAAGGAGCCTGTCTGTCTCTTCTCAAGGGGGGGGCACACCCCTCAGGGCCTGACTTTAACCACCTGCGTCCTGCCAACCAGCCTTCTCAGGTGTGAGGCACCTCCAAGTCCTCCTACTTCTCCCTGAGCTCGGCCTCCCTCCCCCTCCCCAGGTCTTTCTCACCAGGACGTTGCTGGCCCTGCCCTGCCAAGACCCTGCCACCTGACAGGCCTTCGGGGCACCAAGGAGTCTCACAGATGTAGCAGCAGCTTCCCAAGAGGCCAGAGACCTGCTGCTTCCCAGAGACAGCAGGGGCAGTAGCTCACTCACCCTCATCACTTCCTGAGGTTCCTCCAAGGAGCTGGGCCCAATTCTGACCCAAAGGGCATTCCATTAAAAATCAAACGGATGTGCACACCCTGTGACAGTCAATGTAGTGCGTGGGGGGAGCAGCTGAGACCTGGACCAAGGTGACCTCTGGACCAGCATGACATCATCCCCACTGACTTTAGCAACAGCGGTCTCAGTGGAGCGCGGGGAGGTGGGACTCAGCCCAGACTAGTCCACGGCACGTGGCGCCGGGCGAGGGCCCACGGCGGTGCATGTCTGGCTGAGTGCAGGAAACCTGACTGTGTTTTCTATGAGGGCAAAGCGCTGAGCTGGGCCGCCAAACAGGAGGGCGTGGAGGCGCAGGTGAAGGGGGCTGGGGAGAACGACACAGGCCTGGGAAGCCCCAGGGACTCTGAAAAAGCCCCTGAGGGCCCTGGAGTGGCCAGAGACTGAAGTCTGGCAGGACAGAGACCAGCTGCTCAGCAGCGGAGGCAAAGGTGATGGGAGAGGTGTGGGGCCAGGGAGCGGGCAGGCTGCACACCGTGTCCAGCATCTACCTGGCCTTCACCCTGCCTGGGCCACACCAGGGACGGGGGCAGGCAGGGACGTGTCCCCTTTCCACACCCTCTCCCTCCCCGTCTTTCCCGCTCTCCCTCACAAGGATTACTGGACACAGCCACTTCAGCCCGTGAGCTAGGGACGCCTTCGCGTCCACGGCAGGCCGCCAACCCTATGAGACTTCCCTCGCCCTAGCTGCGTGGGGCTGGGCTGCGCTGGGCCAGCACGTGCCAGTCTGACTGCGTCTCCCTCCCATCCGTCTTCCCATCCGAGCGCAACCCCACTGGAGGCGCTCACAGTCCCTGGTGTCTCAGAGTCGGACATCTAGGTCCCCCCTCGGCCCACAGCCGCCACCAAGGCGCTCTTGCTACTTCTCCCCATTCCCAGGGTACTTGTGTGAGGACCCCCATAGAGGGACAGCCTCCTCGTCCCCACACACACTGCCAGCATGATCTTCCCGACAACCACTCCCCTCACTTCCCACAGGGACCCCTGTACTACATCAAGCTCTCAGGTCTGGCCCCAATCTATTTCACCAGTATCACTGGCTACTGGGCCCCTGGCCCATCCCCAAACATAGTTTGCCACAGAGTCACCTCTGCCTGCGGCCATCAGCCCGGAGAACCACACACTGTACCCCCACTGCGTCCCAGCAGGAGAACCACCCGCCGCACCCCCACTGCATCCCGTAGACCTTGGTGGGCTACATGCTGGGCACACGGCCGAGTCCAGCACCACTCTGCAGTGGAAGTTTGCCCATCCCTGCTGGGCAAGTCCCTTCCCTCTCGGGGCCTCAGTGTTCTCATCTGAGTCACTGTGGCTCCCAGGGGTGCTCCCCAAGCCCTCCTGCTTGACAGGGATCCAAGCACAGCCATGTCAGGCCACCACCTCAAAAAAGACCTGCGTGGCCTCTTACCCAGTAAGAGGACAGACAGGGCGATCTTAGAAAGAATGTACTGTCAAACCGGCACTTCTGAGTGAAAGAGATGCTGCTGATCACCAGGCATGAACCAGGACAGTTCTGGACAACCTGAACGTGCACCCAACCCACTCAGAGGAGGTGGGAGCCAGAAAAACACAGGGCACTGTGCGAAACATCCGCGTCCTGGCCACAGCGAACACGTGCTGCGGGCTAACTGCAGGGTGGCACTGCGCTGGGTGCAATACAAACTCAGCTCCCGTCCCACGCTGGGCCAGAAAGAAGGTACCCCGACAATCCCCATTTTAGATGCTCCGTGGTTAGAGCAGCCTGACACCCAGCAGAGAAGGGTCTGCACCCCAACGTCGAAGCCTCCAGGGCCTGGACTAGGCTGGATACCCCAGAGCCCATGCCTGGCCCCTGCGGGTTCTTGGACGCCCTGACACGGAGGTGGCCCTGCGCAGGTGCGTGGAGCGCACCTTTCTGGTGACCTGCACAGTACCTTGCTCTTCCAGACAACCCAGGGCTCCAGAGACCTCCATGGGGGCGAGGGGCCCAAAGCCTGGCCTCTGACACCGTGTCCAACCCCTTCCCCACACACAGCCAAGTGCCCACGGACAGGGGAGGAGACAGTGTCGCCCGGAACTGTGACAGCGGGTATTCCGGGGTCCGAGCCAATGGCTGACCGCTGGGCATTCGGTGCTCCTTCGGAACTTCTGAGACTCAGACTCTTAGATTCCACTTCGCGCCTGGGCTCTCAACAGCCCAGCTCCAGCCCGTGCGGCTCCGGGAAAGGGGTCCGCCACCCAAGCAGAGCGGGAGCGTGAGGCCCCGCGTAGGGCGGCGGGTCCCGGGACACCCTGGGGCGCGGCCTCCAAGCACGCACCGCCCCTCGCCTGCTTTCCCGGGTGCCCACGGCAGCTCCCCTCCCCTGCGCGTGTGCAACCCCGTCACGTCCCCTGAAAGTCCCACCACCCCTTCAACCCACCCGGGAGCAGGACCACTACTCAGGACTCGGCCCCGGGCCCTCCTCCCCGGCCTGCTCGCAAGGCTCTCGACCCTCGACCCTCGACCCTCTCCAGCGAAGGGTCGCTCGCTGCTGCCCACTGGCCCCTCCGGCCTCTGCTCCCGCTGTCCCCGCCGCCCCAAGCCGCTGTGTTCACCCGGGGGCGCAGCGAAAGGACGCCGGCGCAGGACGCGGGGCGCTCCGCCTGCACCTGCGGGCGCCCTGGGGCTCCCCAGCCCGGGGCTCCCCAGCCCGGGCCCCGCCCCGTGCGCGCGTCCCGGCGAGAGGGATGCGGCCGCGGGGAAGGGCGGCTGCGGGGCCCCGGCCGGCGGCGAGCGCCCGGGCAGGCGCCTGGACACGGAGACGGGCCTCTGGCCCTCGCCGGCCGCCGCCCGCCCAGCCGCTCCCCGCGCCCTCCTCCCGCCCGGCAGCCGGCGCGCGGGGCGGGTGGGTGGGGCGCTCGGGCCTCCGCGGCCCGCCCCGCCCTCCCCTCGAGGCCGCCGCGCCAGGGCGGGTCCCGGCCGCGCCCGCTCCGCCCCCGCCGCCGCCGCCGCCGCCGCCGCCGCCGCCGCCGCCGCCTCACCTCGCTGTTCGGCCGCCGCCGCCGCCTCCGCCAGCTGGGGCCCGGCCGGAAGTGACGCGCGCCGCGCACGCGCACGCGCACGCGCAGGCGCCGGCGGCCCACGTGACGGCGGCGCGCGGGGCGGCGGGGCCCGGGCGCCGGCGTCTGCAGGATCGAAGGCACCACCACGCACTGCAGCATCACGTTTATTGAAAAAGTACAAAGTGTCCCAATAAAAAGTGCACCTGGAGAAAAAGCCAGGCCAGAGGTAGGGGAGAGGGGGGCCCCGATCTCGGGGCACGCGCCCCGCGGGCGGGGGAGCGTGCGAGCAGGGGGCGGGCACGGGGGCTCAGGCCACCCGCGTCCCTTTGAACAGCTCCACCAGGTCCTTGAAGTCCGGGTCGATGAGGTCGGAGGGCAGGTCGCCGTCGTCGTTGGCCGCACCCCGGTCTGCCCCCAGGGAGATGAGGTACCTGGGGTGCAAAGGGCGGCCCCGGTTGCAGTGGGGAGAGGGCCTGCAGGAGCCTTCCCCCGGCCCAGGTAACAGCTGCAGCCCGAGGACCCCGAGGGGTGAGGGTGATCCGCCTGGTCCTTCAGAAATGGAGGCTGATTTTCCGCCTGCACCCGGGGGGGGAGGAGGGGGCAACAGGGCGGGAAGAGCTTCCCGAAGCCCCGAGGCTTCTCAGCTCCATCACAGGCCAGCCTCGGGGGACCACATCCCGGAGGCTCCTTGAGGCTGGGGCCTGGGATCGGGCTGCGGGCCTCACCCTCTCACCTGGCTATGTCGGGGTACCCATCGCTGCAGGCGATGTGCAGGGGCGTCCAGCCCGTCTCATCGCGCTGGTGGATGTCCGCCCCATACTTGACCAGCAGCTTGACGCAGTCCAGGTTTCCCGAGAGGACTGCTTCGTGCAGGGCCGCCAGGCCTGGCAGCACAGGGCAGGAGGGTCAAGGCTGAGGCCCTCCCCTGCCGCCCCACCGACCCTCGGCTGGCCCTGCAGGCGCTCACCTGAGGGGTAGATGGTGTCCAGCGCCACTTTCCGAGCCCGGATGAAGCGCCCTACTTGCTCCAGGTCGCCCTGGCGGATGTGGTCCAGGAAGAGGACATCATTAGCGAAGCGCACGCTGCGCTGAGCCAGCATCCGCCGCCGCCGCTGCTGTGGGCTGTAGCGGACATAGCGGACTGTTCTGCTGGGCATCTTGGGGGCTGTGGTGGGGACCGCCCCGCTGGACCCTGCTGCTGGGGGAGGCGTGTGCCCAGCCCAGACTAGGGGGCAGGGTCTTCGAGCCAAGGGCAGTGGCTTCCAGCTGGACCACGCAATGCGCCTTGAGCAAGGGCGCCTCCCACTTATATAGGACTCACCGGGCTATATAAAGCCACGCGGTCATGCTCCCACCGCGAAGGGTGGAAACCGAGCCGCTGTTCCTCCCCAGCCTCAGATCAAGTTTACTGGCTCGTCTTTCAGCCCACCTGTCGCTGTGCCTGGCCAAAGGGGTCAGATCCTTCCTGGCCATCGAACCCAGCCCCGCTGCTGGATCGACAAGGTGCCTTACAGAGGGCACCGGAAGGACAGGACCTACAAGGAAGGCAAGCGGGTACCAAGGACATCCGAGGGCCCAGGCGTCTCCCCCAGTCTTGGGTTCTCTAGGATGTGTGGTGAGGATGGCTCCTCCACCTCCTGGGAAGCGAGGGGCCGCCCACATCTGAGGAAACACCGGGCAAGACCCCTGTCCCTCCCTGCACTATTCTTTCCTGGGCCTCCCAGGTTGGATCTAAATGCCTCAGCTCGCACTCAGAACATACCACCAAGCACGCCAGGAGCCCTCTGTGGGCCCTGCCCACATGGCCAGTTTCCTTCCGTCACGACCCCTGGCCCTGCCCCCAGTTCTCCTGGTGCCAGGTCCCTGCCACTGTACCCTGCTCACACTTGAGGTGGCATCCAGTCTGTGCCGCAAGGACAGGCCATTAGGTCCCAGGTGGTGTGTCCTCTGCAGCTGGCCAGGTGCAGGCTTGCCTGGAGGAATGCACCCAGTGGAATTTTTGAAAGACAGGCCTGAGGCTGGGCCGGGCCACCTGCCTTCACTGCAGCAGCCAAGGCCTGAGGTGGGACGTAGGCCTGGGTGCAGGAGGAGCCAGCGGAGAAGATGGAGCCCGGGACACACGCGGCAGCAGAATCGGGCCAGGAGCGTGCCACGGGATCGGACAGCCCCGCACACCTGACGTTGGTCATGTTGGTTTGCTGGGGCTGCCGTCACAGGGAGCCAGACTGGGGACCTTAAACAACAAACTTGATTCTCTCTGCTTCTGGAGGCCAGAAGGTGGAGATCAAGGTGTGGGCACGGTGAGTTCCTCCAACGCAGGGTCTGGAGGCCCCGCTCCTGGCAGTCCTCAGTGTTCTCTGCTTGCAGACACGTTAGGCCTCCCGTGGCTTCACGCTCACACGCGTTCTCCCTGTATGCGTGACCATGTCCAAAATTCCCTTTTTTTTTAATCCTCACCCAAGGACTTTTTTTTTTTTTTTGCATTTCAGATACAGCGGGAGGAAGAGAGAGAGAAACATCGATGTGCTCAGTTGACGAACGGATAAAAAAAAGCTGTGGCACATTTACACAATGGAGTACTATGCAGCTGTAAGAAAGATCTCTTCTCCTTTGAGATGACATGGAGCGACCTGGAAAGTATTATCCTAAGCTAAACAAGCCAAGCAGAGAAAGACAAGTATCATATGATCTCACTTAATTGTGGAATATAATGAACATAACAGTCTGAGGAATGGGGTAGTCCCAGAGACGTGGAAGTGGGGCACAGACTGACAATCCCCAGAAGACGGGGTGGTGGGGGAGAGATAAACCACAGAACTTAAATGCACGTAAGCATGAACAAAGGTCATGGACAACCAAGCTGGGGACAGGGTGGGGAGGGGGGGAAGTGGGGAGTCAGTGGGGGGAAAAAGGAAAAACACCTGTAACAAAAATTAATTTAAAAAAATAAAAAGACTTTAAAAAAAAGAACATCGATGTGAGAGAGACATATCGAATGGTTGCTACCCACACGTCCCCAACCAAGGCTGGGGACAGACTGCAACCGAGGTACGTGCCCTTAGCAGGAACCGAACCCAGGACTCTGGTCCACAGGCCGATGTTCTAACTGCTGAGCCAAACCGGCCAGGGCCAAATTCCTTTTTTTGTAAGGACACCAACCAGTGGAGTAGGAGCCCACCCTGCTCCAGTGTGACTTCATCTTGACTAAGGACATTTGCACAACCCATTTCCAAATAAGATCCCCTCCTGCGGTCCTGGGGTTAGTATCTCAATATATGAATCCTGGAGGAATGCAGTTCAAGCCCTAAACCTGGTGAGACCACCCCCCCAACCCCCGGGAGGTCACTGAAAACCTGACTGAGGTCAGAACCAAGACTGGCCAGCAGACAGGGTGGGGCAGGCAGCTGGGTCACCCGCACCCCTTGCTTCGCCCAGCTGGTCCATCCAACAAAATCCAATCCCCAAACATAGAGGGTGGGCAGAGGTAGGTTTACAGTTGTGTCAGCAAAATAGTTTATTCTTTTATTTTTTTTATCATCACCCAAGGACACTTCCATTTTTTGTTCAGGTAGGGTGGGAGGGGGAGAGAGGAACAGAGGAGAGAAACATGGATGTGAAAGGGACACATCGAGTGGTCGCCACCTGCACAACCAACCAGGGCTGGGGACAAACTGCAACCGAGGTACATGCCCCCAGCGGGAACCAAACCCGGGTCTCTCTGGACCACAGGCCGATGCTCCAACCGCTGAGCCAAACCGGCCAGGGCTATTCTTGTATTCTTTGTTATATTATTTATATTGTCATCTCATAGCCTTATGATTTATCTTTTAAGTAAAGATGGCTGGTAAATTAACCCACTTTTGCCCACCCGTGTATTTTTTTATTTAAATATGTTTTTATTGATTTTTTTAGAGGGAGAGAGAGAGATCGAAACATCAATGTGAGAGAAAAACATCCATTGGCTGCCTCCTGCACGCCCCCAACCCGGCATGTGCCCTGACCAGGAATCAAACCGGGACCTCAGTCCCTGGGCCAAAGCCTCGGCCGAGTCCAGTGCTTGAACCCAGGCACTGAGAGCCTCCCGGTGGGCTTTGTTTGTTGTTAATCCTTCCCCGAGGGTGTTTTTCCATTGCTTTTTAGAGAAGAAGCAATGGAAACAACAATGTGAGAGAGACACAATTGGTTGCCTTCTGCATGACCCTGACTGGAGCGTGGGATCAAACCTGTAGCCCAGGCACCTGCTCTTAGCCGGATATCGAACCCGCGACCCTTCGGTTTGTAGGCCAATGTTCTAACCACTGAGCCAAACTTTCCAGGGCTCTGGTGGCTTTTCTTCCCCCATGCTAGGCCCTGCAGGGGCCCCGACAGAAGGGTGGTGCCCAGCGTCCTGAACTTCAGGGTTCAGGGGACTGGCTGGGTGGTCGGACTCCTGGGCACTGGGGAGGAGTCAGGTCGAGTTTCTGGCTTATTTACACAAAGCCGGAGACTAAAAGTTCTACCCTTTAGGCAGGAGACAGAACTTTCCTTCGATGTGAAGATGATCTTTTCTGATGCTGTGGAAAGTTCTGTCTGCCCTCCCCATTCAGAGGATCAGGTGAAAGAACCGTGGATGAAGCTGCCACCAAGGGCGTGGCCCTCTCGGGAGTGACCAGGGCCAGGCCAGAGACAGGCTGGGTAAGCCCGTCTCGGTGGCCATGGTGGTGACTCCAAGAGGGACCCTCTTCCTCCCGTCTGCCAATGACAGGCTGAGAGCTCGGGGCTTCTACTAGGATCAGAGAAGGGTTGGTACCAACGCCTCCCCGTCGAAAAAGACCCCTGAAAGCTAGTTGTGGGGTGGGACCGTGGGTACGACCTGCCAGCTGACCCGTCGTTGGGGGCTGGCCGCCAGCAGTCAGACCGGTGCCATTGGCACAGCCTGCCTTTCCCGCAGACGCGGCAGGACCAAGCCTGTGCTTAGTGGTTCTGCCCTGGAACTAGTGAGGTGACCTGGTTTGCGTGACTTCCGCCACCTAGAGGACGGACGCGAACTGAAAGACAATGCGAGAAGCTGCAAAGTCCAAGGAGCCCCCCCGGGGCTCGGCCGCTGCAGGCCCCTCCCTGCAGCCTCTGAGGCCAGACTTCCCCGGTCTGCTGCTGCTTGTTCGGGTTCCAGGCCCGTGGCGTTACCACCTTTGTGTAAATAAGATCGAGGGAGAGGGAGAGAGGGAGAAAGAGAAGTTGGGATGTCACTACCCCAGAGCCTGTGAAGTCACCTCGCTCACCCATTAGCCCTGCTGGGTCCTGGACTCCACTCGCTACCTCCCAGCAGAACAGGCCGAGCCATGCACTCGTGAGCTGTGTCTGCAGGAGGGGACGGTACCGGTGACACCCCTCCTGGAGCACGTGGTGGCCCAGCCCCAGCTTTCTGTGCCAGGGACAGGCTCCCACGGCTGGTGCCCAGGGTCACGGGCACAGTCACTGGGGCAGGGAGAGTGGGATTGGGCACAGCCCACCACTTGTCGCTGTGACGCTGACAGCGCCCTCTGTGCTGCGCAACCATGGTTGGGGTGGCAGGGCTAAGTTCTCGGTGACCTCCGCCCAGGGTGCTGACACCCCCCATGCACATGCCATTATGTTGGCAGGATTGAGGCACAACACGCAGACCCCGGGGCAGACTAGCTGGCAAGCAGCCCGGGCACAGGCCACCCCAGAACCCGGGAAGGACTTCTGACCGCGGGCAGTCTCCACCCCGCGGAGTGGGGCCTGACACCGGCACGGGACCAGGTCCTCACGGCATAGCACCCTGCTCACTCTGGTTGGAGGCAGGAGCAGCAGCCCTGGGGCTGGGGGCACTGGGGGCAAGGTGGGCATAAGGGCCTCCTGCTGGGATTGAGATGGCTCGTGATGGAGATGACACCCCACCTACCATGAGCAGTGACCCCTTAGAGAACCACCCATGGTCACGACTGGCACCTGGAAGCCCAGCTCAGCAACAGGAGCCTGGAGCAGGGGACTGGGGTCAGGAAACATGCACACTTCCCACCCCAGGGAGCAAGCTGAAGGTGCGTCTCAGGGGCCCTCCCCCGTAGATGTATAGACGCAACAGATGCTGAGCCCCTTCCCAAGTTCTCGGTCAGGGATGGGCCTGGCCTGAGGCCCCAGGCTCTGCAGGCCTGAGATGTCCCTGATCCTGTCTCAGCCCACAGCCGCCGGACACCCTCCTCTACGTAGACTACAACCGGGCGTCTAGAAGTCGTTACATCGCAAAAACGGGGTGATCTGCCCCCTGGCCAGTTCTGCTCAGTGGTTAGCGTGGGCCAGCGGGCCAGTCTTGGGTTCAGTTCCCAGGGCATGCACCTCAGTTGCAGTTCATCCCCGACCAGGGGTCGGGGTCATGCAGGAGGCAGCCTCTCTCACATTGATGTCTCTCTCTCCCCCTCCCCTTCTATCTAAAGATAAATGGAAAACTCTCCTCCAGTGAGGATAAAAATTAAAATAAAAACCAGGTAGTTTGCTGTTCCTTTTTAATTTTTTTTGTTGTTAATCTTCACCAGAGAATATTTTTCCATTTATTTTTTTGCATTTATCTTCAGATAGAGCGGGAGGGAGAGGAGGAGAGAGAAATACCCAAGTGAGAGAGACACATCAAGTGGCTGCCATCCAGATGACCCCAACTGGGTCCGAGGACAAACTGCAACCGAGGTACGTGCCCTTAGCAGGAACCGAACCCGGGACTCTCTGGTCTGCGGGCGGACATTCCAACCCTTGAGCCAAACCAGCCAGGGCTTTCCATTTATTTTATTTCTTTTCCATTGATTTCTAGAGTGGAAGGGAGAGAAACATGAGTGTGAGACACCTCAATTGGTTGCCTCCTGCATGCACCCCAACCAGAACCTGCAACCCAGGCATGTGACCTTGACTGGGAATCAAACCAGCGACCCTTTGGTCTGAGGACACTAACCACTGACCCACACCAGCCGGCCACTCTGTGACTGTTCGGCCATAAGCACAGGGTCTTGTCATCTTGCCTATTCTTTTTATTTTTATCCTCACCCGAGGACATTTTTCCATTTTTTGTTCAGGTAGAGTGGGAGGGAGAGAGGAACAGAGAGAGAGAGAAACATCGACGTGAAAGGGACACATCGAGTGGCTGCCACCCGCACGACCCACCAGGGCCGGGGACAAACTGCAACCGAGGTACGCACCCCTAGCGGGAACCGAACCTGGGTCTCTCTGGACCGCAGGCCGACGCTCTAACCGCTGAGCCAAACCGGCCAGGGCCCTTGACTATTCTTGAAGCTTAAACTCTGACTTCTTACCGAACCCGGCAGCGGCGGGAAGAGACCCCATCCCAGAACAGGCCTGCCACCTCTGGCCAGGCTGGCTCCATGTGGGGCCACGTCCAAGTGTCCTAAAGTGGCCCGAGGGAGGATAATGACGGCCACACCAGTCACTGGCGCAGCCCTGTTCCCTGCCTGGCCACCTGCACTGCAGCCAGGCTGGGCTGGGCGCCACGTTGGTGACAGCAGCTCCCGTGTGCTGCGCTTGCCCCGAGCTCTGAGAGGTGTCTGGACAAGAACGCCCCCTGCCCTTCTCCCCGGTCAGCCCCGTCCAGGGCCTGGAGATCACCAGGCAGAGGCAGGTAGTAAAATTTCAACTTTATTCAGCCAATGTGTTCAACTCCAATATTGTGGTAGAAATGCCCCCGAGAACTGTGGACAACTGACTGGGCTCGAGCGTCCCCAGCCGTCTCCCGGCCTGGGAGCGGAGGGCCTGGCTCTGTTCGGCACAGGCTGCAGGCCAACCTGGAGGTCAGAACAGCCAGGACCCAGTTCTGGGAGGGGATCAGTCTTGGCCCAGCCAGTTCCCACCGCCCCTGTGGTGGCGGGGCCCCTGTGACAGAGACCTGAAGTCTCCATCGACCAGACGCGGCAGGAGCCCCACGCAGCCACGCCAATGGCCACAGGTGGGGTGGGCCGTGCAGCCTGGCTCCATCCCTCTCCACAGGGGGCACCGGTCTCCAGGGCGGCCCGGCCAAGGTGGAACAGACGCCCAAACGTTCCAAAATGTCTAAAAATCCCACAGATGGACTAATTTTAGTGATAATATAATAAACCTAATAGGCAGGCAACACTGCCGGCGTGAGATGTCAAAACATTTTAGCGAGAGCTCTGGTCAAACTGTGTACGAAAAAGTACATCACAAATTAAAAACAGCCCACCCACATGGGCTGGCCTGGAGAGACCCTTTCCAAAAACTGAAAAGCAGAAGGAAGAGACGGGTTTAAATGTACGCGTGTCAGGGCCAAAGTGTTGCTTCCGAGTTCCCTGCGTTTCCAATGGGTGCTCTGTCCTCCCGGGAGGGTGCACAGCTCAAGGCTGTGCTGCTGGGGGTGCGGCCCGAGGGGCACGTCGGGTGCCAGGACTGGTTTCCACATCACAGTTCGTCTTTCACAGTTTTCTGGTCGTCATCTTCCTCCAGGTCAGGCTCCTCTGCTTCCTCTAGATCTTCCAGATCCTGGGATGCAGGGCAAAGGGAGGCCCCCACCATGCCTTGAATACCAGGAACCTGCCCTCTGGGGAGCCCAGGGTGCCCTACTATGCGATGTCCACACTCCAGCCCTCAGGGCTTGTGGGGTTAGAGTGGTTGGTGGGCACTGGTCACAGCAGCACGAGCTGCGGCCCTCCCCAGTCCCGAGCCACCCAGCTCAGCAGCCAGTAGCTCCCCTACCCCACCCTCCAGGTTCCAGGTGGCCCTGCCAGCCGATTGGACCATGCCCTCCGTTCCCAACACAAAGACCCTATCAGTCACCAGCCACACCCCCGCCACCTCCTCCTGGCCTGAAACCAGTTCTGGCACCCCTCAGCACAGCTGACCATGGCAGATACGGGCACCTCAGCCAGCAGGCTGGGCAGGACATCAGAGTCCAACTAGCAGAGCACCATGTGGGTGAGTAAGCAGACTGCATAAGCAAACAGCACCACTTAAAGAGCCTTCTGCCCAAACCACTCCACACAGGGGTGCTGATCCTGGAGAGGGAAGTCACACTCAAGGGGAGGGCTTTCCCGCAGCTGGCCCAGCACCAGCCGAGGAGGCATGTGTCCAGTGGACTGCAGGCCACAGCCTGAGGCCACCAGGGTGACCACCACTTACATCATCATCCCCAGCCCCATCCTGGCCACCGCTCTCCAAGAACTTCTTAAAACCATCTAGCGTCCGCTCCCCGTTGTAATCGATGATCTGTGGGGGAAGGGGATGAGAAGCAGGCCCTGGGCAGCGCCTGCCCCGCCCTGCAGAGCGCCAGGGCTCCCCGCACCCCGCCCCGCCCCGGGGCCCAGAGGCGTACCGTCCTGTCTGGGCCGGCAGGGAAGAACTTGAGTGTGGGGAAGCTGTGCACTTTGACGGCCTCCACCTCGTTGGCTGTCGAGTCCATCTTGGCGATGACAATGTTCTCATGGTCCTTGTACGTCTCCCCCAGCTTGTCCCAGACGGGAGCCAGCTGCTTGCAGTGCCCGCACCACGGAGCGTCTGGAAGAAGGCAGTGTGGGCGTTCAGGCCAGGAAGCCGCGCCCCCGCCCAGCCCGCCCCACCCCACCCCACCCCACCCCACCCCACCCCACCCCACCCCACCCCACCCCGGAGCAGGGAGAGGCCTCGCTTACAGAACTCCACAAACACGTTCTTTTTCTCGTCGAAAGCAACCTCTTCGAAGTTCTTGCCGACCAGCACTTTCACAGGCTGCTTGTCCCAGTCTTCGGGCAGCTCCTGGCTCATCAGATGAGGCTGGAGGGCGGGCAGGGCAGGGTCAGGAGCTTGGTGCCCACGGCCCCCAGCCCAGACACACGGCTGCCCTCTGTGATCTCGCCCGTGGAGCTCCCCATGCAGTGGGACATGAACAGCCACACTCAGGCCGTCAGGGGCCTGTCCCCAGGACCCATGCTCATGGTTCTGACACCACGAGGACGACTGCGTCAGAAAGGAGGCTGGACAGCGGGCCCGGCCCCACCTTGATCTTGCCGTCCAGGAAGCGGCGGCAGAAGTCCGTGATCTTTTCTGTCGTCAGCTCGTCCGACTCGGGCTTGTACTTGGTCATCTCCTCCTCCAGGGTGATGAGGCGCACGGCAGGGCACTCCTCCTTCTTGAGGCCGAAGAACTCGAGGATGCGCTGGTTGTCGGCATGGTCACTGTCGATGAATATAAACAGGATCTTGGGGGAGAAAAGGCGCGTTGAGAGCAGCGCCAGGAAGACGGCACGCTTCACCTGCCGCAGCCGTGCCGGCCGGCTCCTCCCGAGGGCTCGGACCCAGGACAGGCTCTCCCCAGAGCAGGGAGAAGCCCGCACCGCCCTCCCCGGGGAGAGCGGACACCTTGCCCTTGAAGCCCTGCGCAGCGTTCTTGAAGCTGCTCAGTTTGCCGTCGTAGTCAGACACACTCTTGGGCAGGAACAGCAGGATGTGAGTCTTGATTTCACCGCCGAAGATCTTCGGGGCCGTCTGTGTTACAAACATAGGTTACTGGCCTCAACCATGAGCTAAGCTGTACGCAGGACACTGACGCCACCAGACGCCTGGATGACAATGGGGACTCTGTGAGTGGGATCCTTGGGGTATCCCCCACCCCAAGTGCAGGCCCAGCAGGGGAGCCACACCTGCTCAGTGAACTCGATGACCAGTGGCAGCTGGTTGTGCTTGATGAAGTCCAACAGCTTCTCTTTGGTGATCTCCCCCTCAAAGTTGTTCCGGCCTTCGTCAAACTGTGGACAGAGAGAGGGCCCTGAGCACTGAGGACTTCCCAAGGCCACCTACGTGCCAGCCAGCTCCGCGTGACCCAGCACTGCCCTGGCAGCCCCATGCACCTGTCCACAGAACAAAGCCAGGTGAAGCCTGCAGGACCAGCTGGCCCAGACCCTGCCACATGGGCTCCTGGGAAGCCAGCACAGCCCCACAGCCTGGTGCTGGGGAACCTTCCTCATCGCCAAGTCCCTAAAGCAACTGCTCAGTGTGTGGGCCACACCCCTGCCGGTGGCCGCAAGGTCAGGGCGACTTTCATCATGGCCTTCAGGTGTCGACAGGTGTCGTGTGCCTTCTCCTTTCTCCAGAGGGTGTAGGACGTGACATCACAGCCACTGAAGCAAACCAGGAGAGCCCTGCAGTGTCCCGTGTAGGCAGATCTCAGGGGCCCAGCAGAAATCGAAGATACCGCTCTTACCGCTGAAACGTACGAACTTCTCAGCTCTGACTTGTAGCACAACAGAAGCCAGCACGTGTGCACCATAGAAACAGCAGCTCTCCAGGACCCCCGTCAAGTCCCGGGGCCACAAACAGAAGGCCACAGATAAGGCATGTTCTGTGCCTGAGCGTCTCCAGGCGGCAGCTCAGGCGGGCCCTCCGTCACCCCGAGCGCTCAGTGACTCAGAAAGAAACACAGGCCTTTCCCTCCTGCTCATTCCTTCTCTTTGCACTTCCTCCAGGGACCTCCAGAAAAGTGGCAGCCACTTCTCACGCTGCCTCATGCCAGACCACACCGAGGGCCAGCTGCCAGGAGACAGGCAAGGCCCCTGCCCTGCTCCCCATCCCACCACCGCCGAGGCTGAAGCCAGCTCTACCTGCTCCAAACCCGCAAGCGTGGAGAGGACAAGGGCAGAAGAGCCGAGGCCAACAGCACGTTCAGAAAATGAGCAGCTCCCCAGCTCTCCATCAGGCACACAGCAGGCCGGGCCCCTCGCCCCAGGGTCACGCTGAGCCCGATTAGGGGCAAACAGGCCGCGTCCCCACTGCCCGGCCTGACACTGAGCACTGTCTGCCTGATTTCACGCTGGGCTGCCACTCTCTTGAGCCACAATCATTTTGGTAATGTTGCCACATTACACCATGTTCACTGCCTAATTTGGTAAAAAGCAGACAGCCCGCATTTAGCTAGGGACAGCCATAGGAAGCCTGGGGCCCTGGGCAGTGGAGGCCAGTCCCGCCAGACCACAAAGCCAACACCACAAAAAGGCCGGACGCAGCAGGCGGAGGGCCCAGCCCCACACCTTCTCCTCACGTCCCAGCTTCCACGAATGAGAAAGAGAAACAGCACAGGTGAGAACAAAGACACAGGATGCTCAGCTCTCGAGCCCATGGTCCAAGCCCTGTGACAGTGACCCACCGGGGACTCAGGGCTCCAGTGTCACTGGCAACAGTTCCCCATCACCCTGGCCAGCAAGCTGCAGCCAGTCCCACTGGGGAAGCAGCCGGCTCAGCCAGGCTGCCCCAGCAGACAGCAAGACCCGGCTCCCCAGGAAGAGCTGGGGTGAACAGGCCGAAGGAAGGAGAACAAGTGAAGGCCGAGAAAGACAGGGTGTGACAGCTGAGAAAGCGGGGATGTCGGGCCAGCAGAAACCTGAGAGGCTCTGGGCCTTGTCCCGATGTGGGGCTCTGCAGTCTGACTGCAGCCAAGACCCTCCCAACCCACACAGCCAGTCCACGGGCTCGGTCACACTGCCCAGACAGCCACGCGGCAGAACAGACCCTGTAGCCACTGCATGGGAGGGGAGGGAAGGGACGTGAGGAGCTACCCTTCGCTGGGACCAGATCCCAGGGCATGGCTGTGTCCAGCCTACATGGACATGGTCACCAGCCAGCACCAGAGTCTCTGCAGAAAAGAAACGGTAGCTCGGCCTGGCTGGTTTGGCTCAGCGGTTGAAGCGTCGGCCCACGGACCAGAGTCCCGGGTTCAGTTCCCGCTAAGGGCATGTACTTTGATTGCAGTGTGTCCCCGGCCCCGGCTGGGGTTGTGTGAGTGGCAGCCACTCAGTGTGTCTCTCGCACATCGATGTTTCTCTCTCTCTCGTCCTCCCTAACTCCCCCCCAAAAAGAAACGGTAACTCTAACCTTCAAGGACACATGATCACCAGAACCCACAATCTGGTATGACAATGGGCACCCTCGATGACAAGGGTGACAGGAAAGAATGATGTGCACTGTTCGCAATGCCTCCCAGAAACTCTCTCAACCTAAGCCTTAGAACGAGACCCAGGACTCCCTCATTAACCCCCACTCGACAGTCTGTCCTAATCAGATGTTAGTTACAATTTCCTGCAAGTCTGTGATAATGACTGATTGATTCTACTCTCTTCAGGAAACATTCTGAGGGTTCCCACCCAGGAAGGACAGTGTATGTAACTATTTGAGTCCGCCAACAAAAGGGCTACAGAAACATCCCAGCCACAAGGACACAGAAGAAAGTTGCCCAGCCACCCGGGCCACCTTGGCGGCTCCCGTCCTCTGCCCAGCAGCCTAAGCAAAAGGCTAGATGCCCAGCAGGCTCTGCAGAAAGCTGTTCTCCACCCTCACGCGAAGCCTGCACATGGCCTGAAGCCAGCGCCTTGCCCACACAGCGTCCCTTCTGACAAGGTGGACAGTAGCCCTCTGTGCCCCTGAACACGTGCACCCCACCTTCCAGCTCCTGTCAGCCTCCCCCCGACTCCACTCTGCAGTGCTTTCTGCCGCCCTGCCCAGAGACAGCCCGGTCCCAAGAGCAGGGTGCTCAGCCAGCCCCCACCCGCCGTGTCCCAGCAATGCTTGAAGTGGCTAAGACAGCAGCAGCCTCTCGAGGAACAGGAAGGACACCAGGACAAAGGGTCGTGGGAACGGGGCTATGCACACAGGTTGGGAACACCCCCCCCCAAAAGCGAACACTCAAGTTCCTGTCCGGGTGGAAGAAAGTGTTAGAAGTGGAAACAATGCCACACCCTGTACAATATAAATACCGCTCAGAACTCCTTAGAAACGGTTACACGGCAAGCTTGTTACTATATCTCCCTGCAGTTGTTTTTTAAAAAAGCTAAACTCCAAAGAAACCCCGCCCTCACAAACACAGCATGGCTATCACAGAAGCCAAACAAAGGGCTGAAGGCCATTGTCTGAGTGGCCCTTATGGCCTGACGTTGCAAAACGGGCCCTGATAACAGCCAGGCTGGTGGTCCGGCCATCCAAGCACCCCCGGGCAAGGTTCTCCAGGAGTGCGCAGCACCGGGAAGGCAGCACCCCCCCACGGCAGCACCTCCACCGCCCTGGGCAGAGGTGCGCAGGGCTGCTCACCTTCTTGAAGAGGACAACCCCATCCTTGTCCAACTGGTATTTGGAAAACACATCACTGTTGGATGTGATCCCGAAGGGTATGTCATCGATGGCCTCTGCTGCCAGCAGGAACTGCTTAGCAAAGTCCGACTCCACATCCTGGAGAGAAGAACCAGAGGTGGCACGTGCCCCAACACCAAGGACCCCGCCCAGGTCAGCAGCAGGACAGACCAAAGCACCCAGGCCACAGGGGTAAGAAGACCCGAGGTGAACCCTGAAGTCTCTACCTTGAAGAAGCCGAGGACGGCCACCTCACTGGACTCGACCAGGGCTGCCGCAGCAGCCGCGTCCGGCACTGTGGTGGCCGCGGGGCCCGTGCGCTTCTTCAGCCAGTTCACAATGTCGTCGGCTTCTCTGCCAGCTGCACCCAAACACAGGCAGGGTCCACTCAGACTGGGCCCACCCACCCGCCTGCCCGTCCCCATGAGCCTGCCGCTGAAACCCAAGACAGCCTCTCTCCAGGAAAAGGCGTCCTGTCCACACCCTGTGCCCGTTCAGGGCTAAAGGTCTTTTCTGTGGGGGCTGCGGTTGTGTTTGGAAGGCAGTGGCTACCTATAGAAAACAGGATCACAAGTCATTTTTCTTCTCTAATCCTTCTGCGTTTTCTAAGTTTTCCTCAACACTGACATTCATTAAACAGACATTTTCCGTGGTGGTCTCACCCTACACTCCCTCTTACCTAGAAAGGCACTACATTTTTGGGGGGAGGTTAATCCTCACCTGAGGACACCTTTCCCATTGGTTTTAAGCGAGTGGAAGAGAGAAAGGGGAGGGAAGATAGAAAAAAATATCCATGCGAGAGAGACACATCAATTGGTTGCCTCCTGCACGACCCCAACCTGCCCTCGACCGGAAATTGAACCCATAACCCTTCGGTCCACAGACTAACACTCAGACCACTAAGCAAAACCGGCCAGGGCCAAACATTTTTTAAAAAGTCAGCCCGATGTCAGTTTTCTCTGTAAAAACAGGCTGAACCTCACCCTGCCTCCCTTGCCCAGGCTGGTCAAGCATCTTTTTTTTTTTTTTTTTTTTTTTTTGCGGTATGTGCCCCTAGCAGGAACTGAACCTGGGACTCTCTGGTCCACAGGCCGACGCTCAACCGCTGAGCCAAACCGGCCAGCGCTGGTCGAGCATCCTTGCCCTTCATGGCTCCTGGACTAGCACAGTAAGACTCACTTGGGCACCACTAGAACAGAGAGAATGAAAAGGAAGATGCTTGGTCCTCCTGAGACTGAGGCCAATGACACTTCTTTCTGCTCACAGGGTCTGGCCACCTGGCCCAACATGGAAGGCCTGGGAAATCTCACATTGAAAAAGATGCTACTGCCCTGGCCAGTTTGGCTCAGCAGATGGAGCGTCGGCCATGGACCAGAGAGTCCCAGGCTTGGTTCCCACTACGGGCACGTGCCTTGGTTGCAGTTTGTCCCCGCCTGGGTTGGGGTTGTGTGGGTGGCAGCCAGTCAATGTGTCTCTCTCACATCGATGTTTCTTTCTCTCTCTTCCTCTCTCTCTCCCTCCAACTCTATCTGAAGATAAATGTAAAAAAAAAAAAAAGAAAAGATCCTGCCAAATGGTAACAACAGCTGAGTCATCAGTCAGGTGGAACTGGGAGTAGCCTCATCTACAAAAACCATGGGTTAGTGACAGGATCAGCGTAACTTTGGACAAGGCACTTCCTGTTCCACAAGTGAAAACGGGATCAATGAGCAGCAGCCTGGTGAGAAGACCAGAGCTTTGGATGGCGGAGTTAACAAGACTGCCTGCGTAGAGGGTTCTGACAGCTGAGCCACGGAACCGGCTCTATGGACAAAAGTCTCATTTTGTCACAGTACCGCCTGTGACAAAGGGGCCCAGCCCCATGCAAGCAGCCTCAGAGCAAGCAAACAGCAGCTGAGGGCTAGGCTGGACAAAGCTGGGCTTGAATTCGAGTTCTGCCCTGACAGCTGTGAGTCTGTGGCAGCCTCAGCCCTGCCCAGCGCAAGGCCCTCACTGCTCGGCCTGGTGGCCGGCACAGCAGATGGCAGCGCTGCGCTCGGTGCCCCAGCCTCCCTGTCTTCGCCTGCTGTCCACCCCACAGGATGTCCCTCTCCACTTGGGAGGTTCTTCCAGGATGAGAGCTTTCCTCAGAGAATGAACTAGAACCAAACCAGAACTTGATCCAAGCACAAGTTCCCCTGCCCGTTTCTGAAACGGGCCTCCCACCCCTCAGGGATCTTCCAGGGCCTGCAGGTAAGTCCCATTCTACGGCAGTTGAAGGGCAGAGCTGCAGGCACACCTGTATACTCTCTGGGGGCAGCCGTGTCTCCGTTCTTGAAGAACTTGATGGTAGGGTAGCCACGGACGCCATACTGCTGGGCCAGGTCAGACTCCTCCGTGGCATCTACCTTTGCCAGCCTGATGTCGGAGCCTTCGGCCTTCAGTTTCCCAGCTGCTTTGGCATATTCAGGGGCGAGAGCTTTGCAGTGGCCACACCAAGGGGCATCTGAAAGGAAAGCAAGATGCTGGAAAGCACTGGACCCAGCTCCCTGATTTCCTCCTCCTTGGGCACTTCCCTCTCTGAAAACCTTATCTGCTCACCAAGATAACCCCTTTGAACGTACAAGGCTGAGCTGATAGCTTGGGCCTCTTGGGCAATATGGGGACAGAGGCCATGAATGACAAACCAACACCACCCCTACTCTGCTTTATCACCATTCAGCACAGAAAGATAAACTCTTTAATGATTAGCAACTTCCTATTACCTGCCTGCAGACAATAGGGCAGACCTGTCCCTAGAATGTCCCTTTGGGAAGGCTGGGAAGTTAAGAAGCCAATGCCGCCCGCATTAAGACCTAATCACAAACGTGAGATACACATCTGCGCACACCTGCACCGAGCCTCACACTTACAACTGGCTCGTGATGCTGCACGAACAAGACGCTCTTAGCCAAGGTTAGCAGCTATGTCGGGCCTAAGATTTCCACCCAGATGGTCAGGGCTTAAACACTTATAAACACACGGTTTGGGTTCTGGTGATAGCTGTCACAGGCTGAGGCGCTTTGGGGAACAGTTAGGGGCTGCACCCTGGCGTGTTCCTTTGTATCTGGGGCAGCTTCCACGGTGCACCCTGTCTTCCTTACTCTATCAGCAGGATCCTGCCAGGGAGACACCAGACAGAAAGCAGTCCTGGCTCTCAGCCCAGGCCACCCTTAGGGTCCAGCTTGGGCAGGAGGGATGTCCCCAGGACGCCGGCAGCGCAGGGACATTGACAGCGGGTCTGTGGGCTGTTTCAGTCGAGGATGAGCCCCCCCAGTGGCTGGGGGTCAGCGTGTCCAGGAGTGGCCAGGACGCTAACAGCCTTGAGGACCCCAACCGGCTGTGGGGTTGAGAGAGGGAGGTTGGGGACAGGTGCCCGGCCTCTATTCTCCCTGCGCGCCCAGACTTCCGTCCCTGTCCCCACCCCGCGGCGGCGAGGCCCGGGTGGCACTCACAGAACTCCACCAGTAGGTACTTGTGGGCCGCCAGCGCCTCCTCGAAGTTGCCCTTGTTGAGCACCAGGACGTTGTCCTCCTCGTCGGGGTCAGCGCCCGCGCGGGTCAGCACGGCCAGGGCCAGGCAGAGCAGAGCTCGGCGCAGCATGTCGGCAGCAGGTAGTGCGCTTCAGTTGGCGCCGCCGGACAGCGAGGCCACGAGAGCGCGCACCGCCCGCCTCGGCCTTATAAACCCGGCCGCCGCGCGCGTGCCCGCCCTCGCCCGCCCTCTATTGGCCGATGGGCTCTGGGGCCCGCCTCCGCCACGCTTGGATTGGGTGCCAACCCTGTCTCCGGCCTCGGATTCGGAAGAGCTACAGAGGCATCCTTCGCCGTCGCCCCGGATTGGCCGAGAAGCTCGCGCTCGCACTCTTCCGCAGCCTCTCATTGGCTCCCGACGGAGAACTTTCTCCCCCTCGACTTGTGACTGGTGGCTTTCTCCAGCGTTCTCCCGGGTTCTGGAATGGCTGCCACCTTCGGAGGCCCCGGCTCTGCGGCTTCTGATTGGCCAAGAGATGCGCGCACCCCGTGCGATCCTTCGTCGAACGTGGCAGTGGGGTGGAGTCCCCCGCCCGCTGAGGGGCGGAGCTGCGCCTGGGCCTCCGAAACCCCTCGTGTTGCATTCTTACTGGACCGCGTATCCGTTTCTAGCACCGCCCCCCGGCTCCGAGGGCCGGAAGCTGGGCTGACGTAACTTCCGGCGTGCGTGAGGTCCGTGCAGCGCCTGCACGGCTCAGTTCAATTGGGCCCGGCTGCTCCCCGCCGGGGCCGCTGGCGCGGGGCAGGCCGCAGGGGCTGGTCCGGGCAATGGCGAGCCCCAGGCCCCAGCGCGGAAGCCTGCGCGGAGCGGGCCGGAGGAAGGGGAGGTCGCGCGGAGCCTCTTAAAGGTCCAGAGACGAGGAAGTGGACCCAGGGCCCCGCGCAGACGTTGCGCAAGGGCTGGAGCCGGCCACGGGCCAGAGGGAGTCCTCGCGCGCCCCGGGCGAAAGGCCCCGGTCTGCACTGCCCCTGCCCCTGCCCCTGCCCCTGCCCGTGGTTGCCAGGCCCTCCAGAGCCGCCCACGCAGCTCCCTGCACACCCGCGTGCCCGCCTGAGACGGGCGAGTGTAACACGCGCCGGACTCCAGACTCGGGGAAAGAACGCACGAAGTCTCCTTAATTACCTTTCTGTGGTCCTCACCGAGATGCCTTCCCGTCGGTGTTTAGGGAGAAGAGGGGAGGGCGAGAGACACGTCAATCGGTTGCCTCCAGCACGACCCCCGACTGGGGCCTGGGCCGCGGATGGACCCTGCAACCCAAGGACTGCCCTGGACCGGAATCGAACCCGCAACCCTTCAGTCCCAAGGCAGAAGCTCCAACCGCCCAGCTAAACTGGCCAGGGCATTCTGCACATTGACATGTTGGGATGTTTTGGGCTAAATGCAAATATTTTGACTTCACTTGTTTCGTTTTCACTTTTTTTTTTTAAAGGCTCCTAGAAAAACACGTAGCTCGCTCTTTATTTCTGCTGGGTGGTGGGCTCTAGGGGGTCAGCTCCCTCACTGCTGGGCGCCTTCCAACCCCCACCCTCACTCTTCTCCAGGGCTTTCCCCTTCATTTGTAGTCACTTCCTTGTTTGTGAAACGCGCCACCACTGATTTTAATAAGTTGGCAGAAAAAAAGGGGAACACTCCCACATTAAATGTACACGTTGACGAACATCCTCATTTCAGAAATGGCGGAACAAAAAGAATGCTCTCATACTTACGAGAGTTTGCATTTTTTAATTGTTTATTTCTCAAAGTATTACAGAGATTGCCCCCTTTTCCCCCCTGACGGTTTGCATTTGTTGATACAAAGGCATGTTTTCTCATCTCTCCTATGTGGGACTCCCTCAACTAGAGTATGAATTCCTGAAGGTCACAACCAGGTTCTCTGTGCACCTCCCCCACTGTCAGTGGAGCGAGTAGGTCAGAGGTGGCTGTACCTGCTGGGATACCTGTTTGCTTCACAGGGGTGACTTTAAAGGACCTGGGACTTCCTGCACAGGAAAGCTTTGAACTTGTGCCTTGCCTGGTGCCCTCCTCCACCCCAGCTCAGTGGGGCACAGTACCCTCTGACCTCTGAGCACAGGTGGGGATTGCCTAATGTCTGCACCCTAACTCCCAATGTTTCTATAATTGCCATGCCCCTGTTTTACAAACCACGATTTGAGACCTGAGACAAGGGACATTTATACCACATCTAGATTTCAGAGGCTGTCATCAGAGTCAAAGCTTAGATGCCTAAGTACTGGGGCTTGAGGTTTTTTTGGCTGATGGGGACGGAGTGAAGGGGTTTTTGACCCCATAACGTGGATTAGTTTGTGATGGTTCGGAGGCAGTGTAGCTCCAGAGCATCCAGTAGAGTATGTACAGAGAAGAAGACATTGAGACCAAGGGGAGAGCAGACCAGATGAGGATCCGAGCCGCTGGCTATGGTCAAACCACTCTGGTTGAGTTTGGGCCTCCCCAGCCAGAGCCGAGGAACACATCCTCATGCAGGTGACAGCCCGGCTGCTTTTCTGCAGCCCAGTGGATGCAGCCAAGTCATTGTGTGAAAACCAGGGCCTGACCAGGCTCTGGCTCAGATGGGCCATGGTGTCTTGACACATTGGCTGAATTGATGAGCTTCTCAAGGCATCTCTGCCTATCTTGAATTGGCTCCCCCACCGATCATGTGGGAGCAGCAAGGTAGACTTCTCCAAAGGCTGGGGGAAGGCCTGCTTCAGGGGAGGCCTGAGATCCGGTCTTCCGGGTTGTTCAGTAGCTGGGTAAGGGAGCTGCGGGGCTGCATCCAGCCCCCACGACACAGCCAGGCTCACTGAATACCTGCTGGCCTCAGCCCTAAGGGAGGCTGGTGTTCCCCTTCGTGCCCTGGCCTTGAGATGGAGTTGCCCTGGGGGTCAGGGCCACCTGCCCTTATGGCTGTGGATCTCTCTGGACCTGCACAGCTGCTTCAGGACATTCTCCGAGTCTCTCCCTCCCAGAGAAGGTGCCCATTAAACATGGGTTGAACCCTTGAGTTATTAAATGTTTTGATAAATACTACTCTCCAAAGTAGTCCTCAGAATAAAACAGCTCCCTTCCCACCTGCAGTTGGCTCAGCGGTGTGGAGGGTGAACAGCAGGCTCGTGGACATGCAGCAAGTGCTCACCTGGCTGAAGGACAGCCCTGACTGAAGGTTCTCTGCTGAGCAGCAGTGGGGACGGGGGACTGTGCCATGAGCGAGCGTGGGCACGCGTGAGAGCGGAACTGGGAAGCAGGCACAATGGTGAGCACGGCCCAGGTGGACTGACATGGGTTGCAGCTGCAGAGTAGACAGTGCTGCACATGGAGAAGATCCTTTAAGTCTCAGTAACCGGTGGTCACATCAAGGGCCCTGATGGCAACCTCTCAGTGGAGGAAGGGTCCTTCTGGGGGTAGAAGAGGAAGCAGAAGCTTGGAGGGGGGTCTGGGGGATGGGTGAACAGGGGGAGCAGAGAGAAGGGAAGGGGACCATAGGCTCTGGCTTGCTGGGGTTGGGAGGCCAGGCCCAGGAGCACCAGGTTGGAAGAAGGGTTCAGGGTGCGACCGGGAAGATCAGGTTAGACTTGGGACCCGAGAGACACGTCATGCAGTCATGCAGGTTCTGCAGATGCCACCTCATGTTACCCTTCACCAGGGGAGGAGCCAGAACAAAGTCCTGGCTGCTGGCAGTGTGCCTGTACAACCTGGCACTCGGGGTTCGAGGTCACATGTCTCACTAGAACTGGGTAAATCCAAGAGCGAAAATAGTAGGCCTTTTGGCCCTCGCCCAATAAACTGAACTGTCCTTGGCACGGGCTGCCCCTGGGTACAACTGCTGCCCCCGAGCCCAGCCTCTGGAGATAGGGAGGTGGTTCCCAGATGGCTGCCTGCCACTTTAGTGGGAAAGGCCTGAGCTCTGCAGTTTCACTGCTTGCCAACCTGTGCCCGTCCCACTGGGCCTGGGGCAGGCAGGTTCCAGGTGAGGCCAGATAGCGTCTTTGCCCCTGTGAATTGGGAGCCGGGGCCCGGGGTGCTTCCTGGGGCTGCCCTTGGTGCTGTCTGGGCCAGCCAGCGCAGGAAGCATCCTTTTGTCCAGCCAGCCAGCACAGGGCCAGCCTCGAGGATCCCACAGGGTCCTGGTGAGGGCGTGGTGACCAGTCCTGTGGAGCCATCCTAGCACGGGCATGTGGTCACTGACCCGTGGGGCAAGAGGGCATTTCCTGGCCCACCCCAGCTGACAGGGTTCAGCCTGCTGATAAGCACTGGGAAGCACAGCAGCCTGAGTGGGTATGGCCAGGGCGGGATCTAGAACAGCAGCCTTCTCCCCCCGCCGGTGTGACATATACCCACTTTCAACAGGCTCAGGCTGCAGCAAGAGGGCAGATTTCAAAACCAAAGTCAGTCCAGAAGGGGTTTCTGGAACTGACCTGTCTGGGTCTTGGGTTATTCCCACCTGCCCTATGCCATCCCAGCACTGGGGAGGGGCATCAAGTCCGTGACTGCCCTTGGGAGTGAGGCTGAGACAGCCCTCCCTGCCACCCGAAGTCCTGCAGACCCTGCGGGTCAGAGGGGCTGGTGCTTGCATGCACCTGGTCTCTGGCAGCCCTTGAGGGCTCCCCTGGCCTGTTCACACCTCCTTGCAGCCAGAAACACTCTCCACTCTCCCACCCCACCTTTGGACCCCTGGCCCTGGCTCAGGAACTGCCTCCCCGCCCACCATCAGGCTCACCTACACCCCCTGGGCCCACAGCTCAGGGTCATTCATTCCTAGGACCGTCGCCCCTTTGGTTCCTATGTAGTGCCTCTCATGGAGTTCCATCTCCAGTTAGGTTCCCCTTCTTTGGGGTTGGAGAATTTCCTCTGAGGCCTAATGGTGACCACGGGCGGGCGTCAGGAGTGTAAGGCCATGTCGGCTAGACCTCAACCCAGCCGGGGCCTGGCCGTGCCACCACACCCCCAAGATTCTCAGTCCTTCTGGGAGTGTCTAGGTCTGAACTGACCACAGAGCAACTCTGGCCAAAAGGGCGAGGCAGGGCTCTAAATTCTTCAATGAGAGCAAGGCAGTGGCAGCCACACCTGGCCCTTGGGGACAGCAGAGGAATGGGCCCGCCCTCCTTCCCCTCCTAGAGACAAGCAGCAGACACCCTGGCTCCTTTGGGGGGAGTTTATTTCCCGGTCAGAAAAGGAGAAGCAGGGGCAGGTTCCTGTGCATTCCAGCTGGGGCCTGACCTGGGAGGGGAGGGGAGGGAGGCACAGGGGACAGCTCCGACTGTGCCCACTTGGTCCCACAGTTGTCCAGGCTGGGTCCAGGGGCCTGCCAAGGATGGTGGCATGGAGCCTGGGGGCAGAGGTGGCAGGCCAGGGGGCCCAGGACGGCACATATGGAGGCAATAAATACTGACAGGCCAGGCATGTCACTCCAGGCCGGCAGGCCCAGGTGGACAAGTAAGGCTCGGCTGCTGGCTTTGTCCGAGGGCTCTCTTTTGGGGCCGTGGGCTCTGGGTCTGGGTGTTGCCCACTGGGACAGAGAAAGCAGAGGCGTAAGGACACCCAGCCTCTCAGATGGGACTAGAGGCAACTTGAGTTTTGGCAATTTGGCTTTCCCCAGGCCCCTGGAGCTGTCCCCACAGCCCTGGCAGGGGGAGTGGAGAGGGTGGGGCTAGCCAGGCCCTGGCAGGGGGAGTGGAGAGGGCGGGGCTAGCCAGGCCCTGGCAGGCCAGGGGCAGCAGCAGCTCATCCCACACTTCCCAGGCCATGGGCTACGGATGGGGCAGCGGGGACTGGGGGACCACATGCTCATGCAGACACAGGGTTAGAGGTTAGTGACGGCCCCACAGCACACGTTCCACGTGTTAAGGCATCATGGTTAGACGGCTACAGACAGCAATGGATGAACTGACCAGGGGGGAGTGACAGCTGAAGGATGACCAGCCCTCACAAGGCCCTGCATCGTGCACCCCACCCTTACCCCATGCCCTGGAAGGGGACGGAACCGAAAAGGCCCAGGGGGACCTGAGTGCCCCACTCCCTTGGGAAAGCCAGAGCCTCCAGTTCTGTGAGGACAGGTGGGGGACCCTGGAGGGATCCAGAGGGGCAGGTGGAGGCCTGAGCTGCAGCCCCCACCACAGCACAGACGGAAGCAGCAACAACACTAGACTATCCAGGAGGCTGGGGCCTGTGGACTGGGCAGGAGGCAGACCGGGAATGACGGCAGCATGGGCAGGGGCCCTGTCAGCACTTTGGTATGGGGTCAGGGTGGGGGTAGGGGTGGGGTGGGGCGTGTACATCCCTCCGCTGTCCGCCCTGCCCGCCTCCCAGGCTAGGTTCAGTCTTTCCACTCTTTCTTGATGGTGAGGTTCCACTCCCAGGACAGATGGTCAGTTTTGTCATCATCTGTGAAGCGGGACTTGATGTTGTAGCTGCCTCGAGCCAGCATGCCCTTGGGCGCCTCCTCCACGGGGGTCAGGAACTCATACTCCTCGGCCCGGGGCCCGTAGCTCCCCACCATGTAGTCAGTCTTGTCAACTGTGGTGTGGGGGGGGGGGCAGTCAGGGAGCAGAGTGGGCGAAGGGCACACCCTGCTTTTCCCCTCTCCCTCCTGATTCCCAACCCCTGGGTGGCCACCTGCATTCTGCCCCTCCCCACAGGCTAGACAGTGGCGGCCACCTCCCTCCTGGGGCCCTGTGTCCACCCTCACTCACTCTTGACACCTTTCCGATATGTGTGTTGGATGTACTTCATGCCAGACACGATCTCTCGGTTCACCTGCAGGGAGGAATCCCAAAGGGGGCTCAGCAAGGATCTCTAGACATAGCCTCCCCTGGCCCCCCTGGAAACCCCACCTTACCCGGAAAGAGATCTTTATCCGATACTCCACACCCTCCTTCAGCACGAAGGACTGCTTCTTGAAGCTCTCCAAGTCACCTGTGTTCAGAACACCGCACTAGAAGGCTTAGCCGGGGCGGCCTCTTCCCTCAGCGTCTCCCAGCTGCGACTGCCCTCCAGTCCTCCCACCCCGACCCAGGCCCCAGGCCCCAGGCCCCAGGCCCCGCCAAAGCCAGAGCCTTCCAAGACCACTGGGCTACACTTCTTGTGTCCCCCGCCAGAGGGCGCCAGCTCTATAGAAAACACTTATTTACTATTACTCTTTTTCATGAATCCTCACCGGAGATTACTTTTTCCATTGATTTTTTTAGAGACAGTGGAAGGAAACCAAGGAAGGAGGAAAGAAGAGAGAGAAAGACAGAGAGAAACATGAACATCTGAGACACACATTGATTGGTTGCCTCTAGAACCTGCAACCCAGGTATGTGCCCTTGACTGGGAATCTAACCTGCGACCCTTCTGTTTGCAGGTCAATGATCTAACCATTGAAACACACTGACCAGAACCAGAAAACTTATTTTTAAGGGAAGCAACAAGGAGGCACTACCCACCTGTCAGGTCCAGCTCCAGGGGGCCGGGGGCAGTGCTGCACACCAGGGTCAGGCGGGTCACAACGACATTGGGCACGTTGGGGTCTGCAGACACGGCCACGCGGCCCAGCAGGGCCTCCTTGTACTTGCGCAGACTCTCGTCGTCCTTGTCCAGCTCCTGGATCTCCTGGATGCTCTTCTGGGCTGGGGGCTTGTAGTTGACGGAGTGCTCGTCTTCCTCGTTCTCGGCTGCAATCTGCGCCAGCTGCTCTGCGGTGGGCTCCTGCTCTGCCATGTTCACCTCTAGCTGGGTCTGGGACACCTGAGGGCGATGGGGTGCGCTGTGGCAGCCTGGAGGGACCCACAATTACCCCCTCCCTTCCCTTAACAGGCCTGGCAGCCAAGAGGGATCAGCTGTGTTGAAGGGGCCTCTGCAGGCCAGGCCCTCTATCTGTGCCCAACGGGAAGGGGCACCTTCTGGAGCAGGAGAGCAGTTGCAGCCAGAGCTTGTCAAAGGGCCCAACACAGGCTCCTGAGACCCAGAGGGGTCACACTAATCTCAGGGGCCCTGCTGGGACACTCTGAGAGGGCCCCACCCTAAGTACACCAACCAGGACTGACTGGGACCTGCAGCCTGCTCCACAGGAAACCAGGCAGACCGCCTCCCCCTCAAGGAGGCAGCAATAACGGCAGTCAGCAGGGACCCCGACAGAGCCGCCTCAGGTTCAGCTGTTCTTTCTAAGCTGCCCGAATCCTCGCCCCAAGAAACCCCTCCTGCTGGGTCAGGAACCAAGAATGCCCCTTGGGCCCTGCCCTAGGCAGGAGCACGGCCTCTACGCAAGACACAGGTAAAGGACCAGCCTGAGACTCACAGGTCGGTCCCAAAAGGGCACGGGAACCCCCAGTGTCTGGCCAGGTCCGCTCCATTTGGGAGGATTGGCGACCTAGCTCGGGGAACTGTTCATGCTGGTGCCAGAGAGCCTGGAGCTGCGCTGCCTGCAGAAGCGGAGCGTAAGGCCAGGGATCCCCCTCCTGCCCCTTCTAAAATCTTTGAGGGGATATGTGAATCCCCCTTCGAGCCATCCGGCCTGTGCAGTGTGGGTCGGCGGCCGACCAGACCGCCGGCTGCTGCGGGAAGGGAACCGACGCCTCTCCCCTAGCCTGACAGCGCGGACCTGCGGCGCGTCGCCAGGCCCACCAAGGGCCGCAGGTGAGATGGGCCCGCCGCTCCTCCCTCCGGAATTCCCCCCGCAGGCTCACGCCCTACCGCCGCCCAGGGTGGCTGCCGGCAGCAGGACCCCGCACTCCCGCAGGGACCCGCAAGCGGGGCCGAGCGCGGGGCGGGGCGGGGAGCTCGGGGCCGGCGGGGCCGGGCGCGCCTTCCCAGGGGAGGGGCGTCAGGCCCGGTCCCGCCCGCGCGCACCGGCGGGGCGGAGGCGCCTCGAGGCACGCGCGGCAGCCACAAAAGACGCCTGCACCGCCCCGGCTCCGGCCCCGCGCCGCCGCCCGCACGTGGGACCCCTGCGCCCGGGGACCCGCCCTGCGCTCCGGCCACCGCCCGCTGTCACCGCCGCCCCCGCCCCCGCCCCACGCAGACCCCCGGCGGGCGGGGCGGGCCAAGGCGCGCCCCCCGCCCCGCCTCCCCGCCGCCGCGCCGCCGCCGCCGCCGCCGCCGCCCCTGGCGCTCACCGGAGGCTCGACCGCGCCGCGCTCGCGCTCCCTCCCGCACGATATGACGAACGTCCGCGCCCCGCCCGCGCGCGCCCGACTGGCCACTTCCGGGGTCACGCGACTTCCGCTCGCGCCGGGCGGGTCTGCGGAGGGCGCGTGCGCGGGCGCGCGGGGGCTGCCGGGAGCACGCGGCCGCCATCTTGCGGAGCCTCGCGAGTGCGTCCCGCGTGCGCGCGCGGAGCCGCCGAGTCGCCTGCGGAAGCCGGTGCAGTGGGGCTCCGCGCGCTTTGCCGCGGACACTTCCGGTCCCCGGCGTCCGCACGGCTCGGTCGCGACTTCGGGGAACGTCTTGCGTGCGCCCCACCTGGACGTCGTGGTGTCGCCTCGCCTTGTGCAGCCTCGCGGCCCACGTGCCGGGACGAGCGGGCCGTGCAGCCGCGTGTTCCGCTGGGCACACGGGAGGCCCGCCGCCCCCCACCCTGCGCCGTCGACTCGCCCTCCTGGACGCGCCCAGTGGACGTCGCGTCTGGTTCGCGCTGCCCACCTCGGGACGCCCGCGGGCCACCCTGGCCCAGCCGTGGCGCTGGGGCCTCGCCGGTGTCTTGCGTCAACCCCGCTCAAACTCAGGAGGCTGTGTCTAGAAATAAGGGGCCAAGACGTACTCACGGGCTTTAGGGTGCGCCAGCCAGAAACGCGAGTAGGCAGCGTGCCCCGAGGAGGAGGAGAAGCTGAGCGTTCTCAGTGAAAACCACAGTCGAGGGAGGAATCAGCCCTGCATCCTCAGCCTCTGGGTTGGTCTGAGCGGCGGTCTTCCCGACCCGCGGTGCTCTGGCCACGAGAACGTTCTCCACGGCCGTCAGAGGACAGGGGTAGGATCGGTGTGTCTCCAGGTGATGCACAACTGGGAAGTCCGGAACGTGAAGTCCTGGCCCTGACCGGTGGCTCCCCGGTTAGAGTGTCTCCCCATACACAGTTCAGTCCGGCCAGGGCACAGACAGATGCAACCAATGAGGGCATGAGTAAGTGGAACAACAAAAAGTCCTCAGGTTGGGTAAATGATACCCATTGTTCATGTTTAGCCCATTTGCTCTTCTTGAATAGACAGGCACCACTTAAAAAATATATATATATATGTTTTATTGATTTTTTTTTTTTTTAGATAGAGAGGAAGGGAGAGGGGGAGAGAGAGACATTGATGGAAGAGAATCATGGATTGGCTGCCTCCTGCACACCCCCTCCTGGGGATTGAGCCCACAATCTGGGCATGTGCTCTGACTGGGAATTGAACCAGTGACCTCTTGGTCCACTGGTTGATGCTCAACCAGGGAGCCACCCTGGCTGGAGTAGACAGACTCCATTTTAAGTCATCTTAGCTCTTCTGACTTCATCTTGTTTCTTCACTTCTTCCTCACTTTGTAACCCTCCATCCGCCATCCTCTGATGAACAAGGCTCTGTGGTCAGGGCAAGCTTGGGCCCCAGCACTTCCTCCTGCAAAGAAGTCTGGCCACTGCCCTGTCCAGTGGTGTTTCTTTCCAGACCAAACAACATTCCTGGGCCCAGCACACTTGGCTGCCTTGCTATGAGCACCACTTCAGGGAAATGTGTCACTGAGGAAGTCCTTGCCACTCATGACTTTGGGAGCAGTTGGCACAGATGAGACAGTTGCCTTGAGACTCTTCACCAGACCTCAGCGTCTCCATTTGTGGGCTCCAGCTGTTCCCGGATTTCAGACATTTGGACACATACCAAACAAACATTCTGTGGCACTAGCAGGAGCTTCATTAAACGTGGCTCCCCTCGCCTGAGCCCACCATGCTCAACCACCAGCCTGGCACTCCTCCTCCCTGTGGGGTCCAAACTCCTAAATGCTCCACACCAGATCCTGGGAAGGGCCTCCCCACCTCTACTCCCAGCACTTGTAGAATTGTAATAACGTGAACATGATTAATGCCGCCTTTCATGATGGCTGAACTCCACGAAGGTGGGCCCTTCTGTCTGGTCCACACTGCCTGGCAGGGAACCCAGACAGACATAAGTCATCACACATGAACACGCACACACTGCACACAGGAGGGCATTTGGGGCAATAGAACAATGCAAAATACCTGTTATCTTTTGGAAATAACTGTTTTTGAGGCATATTTTAAAATTCTCTGTACCCAAGAGTTGTACTGTTAGTTTTATGTGCAGAAAGTTCAGTTGGCCACAAGCACAGCCCTCTACTCAGGTGTTTAGTACGTTGCTAATGAGGCTTCCTGTGCACTGAGTCACTGCTCCCAGACACGTCTACTCTCATAACGCAAGTGCCTTATAAAAGCCTAAACTCGAGTATAGAAAATTTCAAACATGCATGTTATTAGGAACCTATCACTGTAAAATGTGCCTTGGAATTTAACCATTTAAAACAACTGCCACGCCCTGGCCAGTTTGGCTCAGCAGTTGAGCATCGGCCTGCAGACCAGAGAGTCCTGGGTTCGGTTCCGGCTAAGGGCACGTACCTCGGTTGTGGTTTGTCCCGGGCCCTGGTTGGGTCATGCGGGAGGCAGCCGGTCGATGTGTCCCTTTCACATTGATGTTTCTCTCTTCCTCTTTCTTCCTCCCACTCTATCTGAACAAAAAGTGAAAAAATGTCCTTGGGTGAGGATAACAAAACAAAACAAAAACAACCACCATTGCCTGGTGGTGTGTCTCAGTGGATTGAGCTTAGTCCCATGCACCAAGAGGCCCCAGTTCCATTCCTGATTGGGGCACAGGCCTGAGTTGCGGGCTTGATCCCTGGTTGGGGTATGCAGTGGGGAGGCCAATGGATGTTTCTCATTGATATTTCTCTCGCCCTTTCCCTCTCTCTCTCAAAAAATCAACACACACACACACACACACACTCTGCCCTGGCCAGTTTGGCTCAGCGGTTGAGCGTCGGCCTGTGGAACAGAGTCCCGGGTTCGGTTCCCACTAGGGCACGTACCACAAAAAGAAACACACACACACAACATTTATTTCCCATGGTTTCTGAGGATCTGGATAAAGCCAGGCAGTTTAGTGGTTCATGGTTCTGGCTCCGGGTCTCTCATGAGATTATGGTCAAAGCTGTTGGCCAGGTCTCCAACACCAGCCGGAATTCCAAGCTCAAGCACCCCTGTGGGCAGGAGCCTCAGACGGACAGACAGAACAGAGAAGGGAACAGAAGCTGCAGCAACTCACATAATCTCAGAAGTTCTGCGCCATCATTGCACTGTGGTACTGGCCACATACACTGTCCTGGGCCGGTGTAGGAGGGGACCATGGGGCACGGCCCACCACACACAACAAAGTGGAAAGAATAGTGCCATGAGCCCAAGGACCTGCCACTGTGCTTCGACAGTTTTCAGCTGGTGGCCGATTCCACTCCATCTGTGCCCTAATCTCCATATACACAGCGTGTTTGAAGCAAATCTCAGAAATCATTTCCACTGGTCCAGCCGGTGTGGCTCAGTGATTGAGCATCATCCCATGGACACAGGTCCCAGTTTGATTCCTGGTCAGGGCAATGCCCAGTTTGCAGGCTCAGTCCCCAGTAGGGAGCATGCAGGAGGCAACCAGTGGATGTTTCTCTCTCTCTCTCTCTAAAAGATCAATAAAAACATGTTTTGTTTTGTTTTATTAAGATAGAGCGGAAGGAGAGAGGAAGGAAGAGAGAGAGAAACATTAATGTGAGAGAGACACATCGAGTGGTTGCCACCCATATGACACCAACCAGGGCTGGGGGACAAACCACAATTGAGGCACGTACCCTTAGCGGGAACCGAACCAGGGACTCTCTGGTCCACAGGCTGACGCTCTAACTGCTGAACCAAACTGGCCAGGGCAAAACATGTATTTAAAAAATTTCTGTTCTGGCCGGTTTGGCTCAGCGGTTAGAACATCGGCTTGTGGTCCAGAGAGGCCCAGGTTCAGTTCCCGCTAGGGGCACGTACACCAGTTGCAGTTTGTCCCAGGCCCTGGTTGGTGTCGTGTGGGTGGAGGCCACTTGATGTGTCTCTCTCACATTGATGTTTCTCTCCTCCTCCCTCTGTCCCTCCTGCTCTATCTGAGGATAAATGCAAAAAAAAAAAAAAGTCTCAGGTGAGAATAAAAAAATAGAAAAACAAACAATTTCCACTGGAAGTATTTCAGCACGTACTTATGTCTAAGGAAGAGGGCCCGTGTCTAGTAAACGAGTCGCAGTGACTGCACCTGTTCTGGCATCTAACGCCCCATCACAAACGCTCCTGAGCAGTGGCTTCGACTGAGTGCAGACCCTACTTTCCTGTTCTGTGCGCCGGGAACTCAGCGGGCTCTCGGGAGGCGTGGGCAGATCAGCGTCCTGCAGCCAAGTGAAGGCTGGCCATCAACGCTCAGCCAGGATGGCATACGGGCTGCCCTTACCTCAGATGCCAGCCACAAGTGGGGTACCCAGGCTACCCACGTTTTTGCCAGT